ACGACCCCAATAAGAGCTAAACGGCACTTGGATGCAAGATTAAATGTAGGCAAGCCCACTGAAAGCCAGAGACTGCGCGTGAAGGCACCGAGGGCAACCAAAGCCTCCAAATTGTTCGTTTCAGAACTGCTCTGGTACACACTGATGAATGCTGACTGTGTAAGTGGTGGACACAGGCGACACTGACGATCCACGAGGACAGTGCCGAGTTCACCACGCGGTTCTCCGCCTGCGACAGAGCGGCTCGAGAGCGGCTCAACCTGCGCCTTGATGCCACAGCCAATGATGAAGAAATTGAAGAACCTCTGCCCGCTGGAAGAGATCAGACAAAGGCCTCACCAGCAACATTCGGCTGAACTCTCGAAGTTCCATAGCTTCACAGGTACAGCGTTTGGGCCATGGCAGAGGCGTTCCCAGGAAGCGCTCGGAACCTGTGACGTCAGGAAGCTTCCAGAAGCGGAAGTCAATCTATATAAAAGCATCTGTCGTAGGATTGCTCCGAGGACTTTCACGGTGAGATGTCAAGCTGTGGCACATCGGCAGGGAGGCATCGCGGCCCTCCTTTTATCCCTTCCTGCAGCCGTTCCCGGACAATGTTCGCCAGGGACTTGAAAGCTGCAGCCGCCTGGGAGGTCTGGTCTTTCCTGTACCATGACGTTCTTGTACAAGAAGAATCGAACCAAGTAAACCTAGGTTAGTGTTTATCCGTTCTGCGTTTGTCTTGCAAATTCTTTCATTACCATTGCACACGCACTAGATTTCCAACCCTGGCAACAAGCAGCCTTGTAGCAAAGCTTTTGTTGACGCTGGAAGCGGTGTCTTTCCAAGTTTGCCAGGGGGGCGGAAACAATGGATAGTCTGTACTGTCAGACAAAACGATCAGATTTAACCCGTCGTCCGAAAGACGTAGGCTTGCGCGGAAATAAACAACCACCCTCACTCACTCACATGCACATCCTCGCTTTCCTGCTCGCGAGTAGGCCCATGTTACCAGTGCGTGGCAATATGTGCGAATGGCCAGAGCATCCATGTTCACACGATGATTGAGTCCACGTGACCGTGCGTATGAATGGCCAGAGCATCCATGCCCGCGCTATGATTACGCCCATGTTAACAGTGCGTGCGAGTGGCCAAAACATCCATGCCCACGCGATGACTACGTCCATGTTACCAGTAGGCAGCACGTCCATGCAGCTTAATGGCACCATTGGTGATCCGACAAATGGAAAGCAGCCGGGACGGTCATCACAGTTGGGCCCAGAAAACACAGTTGGACCCACAAACTGGTCACAACACCATGACCCGGATTCGACCGCGGGAGCTGGTCAAAAGAAACGATTCGGCTGCACCTGCCTGGCTTTCCTACATTTACCTGACCTCCTACTCTAAGACGTTTAGCTTTGAGGCTGTTTTTTTTGCGCCGCGCCAAAAGTTGTGAGATGTAAGACGCGAAGATACCAGAAATGTAATGATCCAAAAAAAGACTTTCTGTCCTAGAATGTGAGAAAGGCAGGACCGAAGTGGATATCGGTGGACGTCGGTGGGGATATGTTCATCTTGTACTGCCTCCGACTTCTGAGATATGCGGATATGGCCTAGGCAAAGACATGAAAGCAACAAGTAAGACAGAGAGAACTATTGCCTCGAGGACATAAGTAGGCCTGAAAGACAGGTACGAAACTGCTTCCGAAATCCTCCAAAAAGGCCCCCGGCATTTTCTACGCAGGAGGCCAGCCTCAGGAGCGCAAGTTGCAATTCCGGTTCCATCCTCGCCCGCCCACTGGGCAAAGGCCGTAGCTGCCTGCAAGGCGTCGCACACTCAAAAAGCACCGGCCCCTTGTATCCGGCACATCAGCACACTTACGTGGACCGTTCAAGTGAGCCATTTCATGGCTGAGGCGCTACGGCAAACCTGTGACAGAAACACGCCTTCACATCGGCCGACAGCGCCCATTAGCAAAATATCTGATGTCCACAGGTATGCCGGCTTCTAGCATTCAAAATCATTCAAGCACATGGGCCAAATAACCCTGTATACTCGCACACGCCGTGCCAGCGCCAGAAGCGCGGCGCGCTGCCGCTGCTTCTTGTTGCTGCCAATGCCCAAGCCGCGGAGCCTCAGATGAACAAAACAAGCGCACAACGGCCACTTGGAGGTGGCACTGTTGACCAACCCAAGAATGTTGGAGCCACCCCTCTTGTCATCGGCGCTCAGGAAGGCCACTTGTAACATGAACATGTACCTTGCCTAGCTTGTGTACATCTACAGCCTGTATGTTGCGAGAGGAACTACCAGGAATTGCTCGATTCTTACAAGTAGGCTCCAAGCCACACCTCAGCACAACCCAAAGACGAACACCGAAACCTTATCGAACCGAAACGAAGCCCTGAATCTTTCACGAAAGTCAAGCAGCCCCGCATGTGGTCCACAAGCCGCTGTGAGCAGAGTGGAGCGACTCCCGCCCCAGTCACCGCCTTAGACGCTGCAACAGGGGGCACCCCCCAGATGGGCGCAACTACCAAACCTTACCCACCTGCGTAGGCACCTGTTGTAGACACCTGGTTGGATACACACGACATGACAGAGAGGCATCGTCCAGACAGGCACTGCGAGATTCTTGTGCGCGCGTCTCCAGCCCAGAGGGTTTCTAGAGCGTAAGACAATGCGCGGCTATGCATGCAATGCAAAGCCAAGGCAGCTCCCGATGCCGAACGATGTACTTAGTGACTTGGTCGACCCCACAGTTGTAGGCCGAAAGGTCGGATAATGTTTGAAACTATTTCCTGACTTCGTAGGCAGAAACATGACACAAGTCGAAAGAAGCTTCCAACTGCTCAAGCTGTTCATGCTACCTCGCTGCGGCCCGGGATGCTTGCTGAGCTTGCTTACTTGGTATAACTAGTCTATAACTGCAAGAAGCTGAACGCGCCCAGCTGTAATGCTGGCGTGTTTCCAATCCAACGGGGTTACCGGGCTTGTTTCGCAAGGTTCCATTTTCAGTTTGGTGACTTTTCCTTTCATCTCTGGTGGGTCCGGCGAAGACGACCACCTTGACAAACCCCCTGTCTGCTAAGTGCATGATTGCATGGGAGATGAAAGGAGCAAGTGCGGCCCGCTAGACAACGGGAAAGGTTGAGCTGGACGTGTTCAGAATTGCAGCCGAGGGGCTGCAACCAGCTAATGGTGAGTCTACGGCAACCTATGACTTGAAGACATCGGATGCCCTCAGGAGGGGATGCTTGCAAAGTCACTTAAAGACTGCTTCCCTCGGCCGGGCCACCGATCTCGCAGAGCGCTTCGGTGATGCAGGGGTCATCCTCACCTTTTGGAGGCTCAGAGAGCTGGAAAACGGCTCACCAGGACTTAGGAATCTTGGGGAAATAGCTGGGAGCATCTGGGGGCGCGGCGCTCGCTCCATGAATCGCCTCCATGGGTTTCCAGGAGGAAGTAGGCCAGGTGCGAGGCTTCCTGCAGCAGCCTCAGCTCATCCCAGCTCCTCCAAGAAAGCCCCCCAGAAGCATTCTGAAGTTCTGAAGTCAAGTCACGTGGACTCTCCCAGCTCGCCGATGCACAGCAGCCATTCCTGGCGCTCGCCTCCACTTACACTTGAATGACCACCGGACTGGAGACAAATTGAGGGTGGACGGGGGGGGAGGCCTGGCGTTGAGGTGAATCCATCGGTGAAACCCCAAAGCGGCCTCGTGACACGGTCAGGATGCAGGCCTGGCCCGAATCCCATTGCAGGGGCTCCTCACCGAGAAAGGGGAGTGGAGCCGCAATGAACCGCACTTTTAGTTGAGACGTTGCAGCTCTCGCGAACGTGTGGACATTTCCCGCCTTAAAGTCTTGGGGCTGAGGCTGCTTCGTTCTCACCTGCACTCGACTGGCCCGTTCCCCGCACTCTGCCTTGCAACCATGGGAAAAGCCCCCAAACCCAACGTCTTCTGTATGGGTGCCTGGCGCAAACCTCCTTGCACAAGGGCTTTTTGTGCGTGGCTGAGGTATTGGGAGGGAGTACCAATGGCGCTCGTGGGGCTGTTGATGTTGCGCGCCAGCAGGCTATCCATCTCTTCAAGAGGCCTTTGACCCATCAAAGGCATCATGTCATGCGGACCCGCAGGCCTCCGGGAGCTTCTGGAAGCGCAGCTTTCGCAGATGCTTCTTCAGTGCCTCAGGAAGCCTGCAAGCACCAGGGGCACTCTCAAAAAGACCCTACGCCTGGGCATGACAACGTAGCCACCTTGCAGTGAAACTCCCGCTGGCTTCAACGGTGAAGTGGACCTGCTTGCGAGGCTGAGCCAAGCGAACTTGATGCATGCCGGCTTCCGCTTCCCGACTCAAACTGGTCAAGTGCTCAACTCCTTTGCTCAGCATTGACAAGCACAACCCAACAGAAATCACGAGCGCATGGATGGCGTGAATGAGTTGAAATGGACGGCCTCGCACAGGGGAGCAGCTGATTGAGCCCAGAGCCTCTGCAGGTCACTGTGCTCTCGTGTTGGCAAGCGACAAGCACCTTTTTTGCTGCGGTGGACTGCTGTCTGAGTATTGAGAGATATTCAAAGCGAGCTGGAAGTAAAGAAGGAGCCACCCAATCCACAAAGGGTTCCTGTCATCTTCCGCAAGGACACTTCAAGTGAGGGTAGCGGCGGATTGGCATCTGACCATACTGGCCTGGTGACGGCTGCCATGGGCCTCATGGGCCTCACAACATCCCGCAACATCTCGCAACTCCAGGTCCAGGTGCCTTTCTGGCGAAAGGCCAAGAGGCGTCTGGATTGCCCACAGCTAGGCTCCGCGCTGACGGAAGCGGAACGCCGTCAGATTTGCGGAAACCCAGAGACCACCATAGACAACGAATCTTAGACAGAGCACCAATCTGACGCGGTTCGGAGCTGCAGGCACGCACTGGCGACCCACTAGTGCAAATATAGCGCCATGCAGATCTCAAGTCAAAGCATAGTGCGGGCTAGCTTGGAGCAGTCGACCGTATGTGTGGATGGAGATCGTGACCGCAACACGGGGGTGTGGAACTGTTGTTGATGATGATTGCTAGATTGGAAGCACGATGGGCCGGGAAATGGGCAAGCGTGCAGTTCTGAAAAAACGACAGCAGCATTGGGGCCAAGATCCAGGACAATGGCAACAACCTGCAAAACATTCGCAGGCAACCACGTGGGCCATGTGGCATTCGGAAAGCGAATCAGTTCCAGGATGGCAGGATGCGGATGTGGCAGGATGTGCCAGGAATGCCGCGGGACGGTGTGTCGGCAGCCAGGGCAGGCCGATGTTGCAGCTAACACCGAGACCTCCCCCCCGGGGCCTCTTCTGGCTCCCCACCTGGGCTTGGGCTTCTTGGGCTTCATCCCATTCGAAGAGATCCTTCACGGGCCGCCCAGCTTTTGCCAGATGCCCGAGGCGAGGTGGCGCCATTTCACAGCTCGCATCTGCTTGATACGAGTATGTGGATTCGTGGTAAGACACACCCGCCGATCAGAGAGGCTAGGTTGCACACCGACACCACTTCAATGCAGTGTAGCTGCTGACGCACATACTGGCACACTTCACAGCAGACTCAAAGACTCACGGAGCACAGAGTTTGCCATGCAGTAGGCCTGTATGGCATCTGCAGGGTCCATGGCCACGATGCCTGCAGGCATACGAGACTCCACATGCTATCAGACGCTATCATGTCACGAGGATCGTCCGGCTCTAAAGCAAAGCCTCACCAGCCCTCGCCGGCACAGCGAAGGCGCATTCGTACCTTTGTATCTCGTACATTATCCGTACATTCTCTAACAAACTAACGTTGGATGCCCAGAGCTCGCATGCCGCTGTTTCATCATAGCCAGTGCTCACTCCTTTGGCGTTACCTTTCTTCCCCCGGAGCTGAACCGTCAAAAGCGTTGTCTGCAGAACGCCATGAACGAGTCGAGCAGGTGGTGTGGGCAAGAATTGGAGCAGAGGCTTGAGCTGATTTCGGGAAGAGATGCATGCCACAGAATCACGTATGCACCGTTCCCTGCCACTCCAAAACATACATACATGTTTTCTTGCAGCTGTGGTTGTTGGCGCGGTCCATACTGCCTTGGCGTTGCTGGAGCTGCACTTCGGACATGCGTGGGGTTGAGCTGCCAACGAGTTTGCATTTGCGGTGGATGCCTGAGGCCTTTAATTATGGTCTGCCTCACACGACGCGGCAGAAAGCGCCATTTGCACAGCGATGCTCATATCCTTGCACTGGTCCGTCGGAGATCACTCGTCATTTCCGGTGGGTTTCTTGAAACGTGCCCCGAGGCAGATGGACGAAACGACTTCAGATAACACGACATAGATGCCAATAGCTGACACAACCCTTGATTCTATTCAACCTTGGCCTGGTAGGGCTTAGTGCAGAGACGTGAAGTGGGGAAAAACCACAAGCTCATAGCTTTGCCGCTCGGCTGCTCGGCCGCCACTCGAATGACCTGCGTAGGGCCCTAGGGACGTTGCTTGGGGCCTCTCTGGGCCTCTCTGACCCCAACATCCCCAACAACGATTGCCTCCGCACCATCGTCCAAGGCGGCACGGTGGAGCAGCAGCTTGTCAACACGAATCCCAGGATGGCTTGCCTGTAGGTGTAGGACATATATAGTGGACAAGTGTAGGACAGTGAGGTCTCCTATTCTGCTATACACAGGTTACGCCTCGTTTCCACCGATTGCAGCATGGTTTACGCAGAACCTCCAGTATCTTTCCAAAGTACTCCAAAAGAGCAGGGGGTTGGCCACATTCAAAACACTCGGGGAACACCGAAACGGTGGGAGACCCTGCGCAAATCTTTGGGCCCCAAACTTTGGGCCAAGACAGCTACCCAGTCAGCTGAGGATGATCATCTGAGGTGGCTGCTCGGAGAATGAGGGTGATGGAGCGATTAGGAAACATGAAGCTTGCTTGCTATGGCAATACAGAGAGGAACAAAGCACGCACCCGACTTCCCGCTCTGGAAGAGGCCTCTTCGCCGTCTTCGCCATCATCATACACCACCAGAATGACATTCAAGCCGAGGTCCTGCGTACTTTGACACCTTTTAAAGACTCTTCTTTCGAGTCAACCTGTCTCCCAAATTCGTCTGGTCTAACGGTCTAGCTGTCTCGACCCCCTCCTGCAGCTTTTTGACTGCATCTCCAGGATGCAAGCCAGACCCGCCTGCGGCTTTGCGCACGGCGCGGATGTCCTCAGAGGTTGGAGCTTTTCACAAATCGGATCTCTGCCTTCCTTAACGAAGCCTTGAAAAGTGCCTAGCACACGGCACAAATGTAGATGGGAGGCGATCACGCAAATTCCAAACTGTAACGAGTTCAGCAGCTGGCGAGCGCTGAGGCTGGCCATGAGCCGCAGACTGGCATCCCTTCAGAAACTACTGTTGCTGGAAGACATTCTTCCCTGCCCTTCTCGAAGATTGAAGGATAAAGCTAGGGTGTGTGTCATCTGCGTGTTGTCGGGTGCTGCTGCTGCGTGAGCACGTGCACATGGTCGGAGTCACCACGCTGCAGGTTACCCTTCAAATATGACATGTTATTGGCAACATCAGCCACAACTTGCCCTTTGACAGAAAGAGGTTGAGTCAATGCAAGAACGAAGCATCCCGCTGACCTCGATATTTCGCTGTGACTTCACGGAAGACGCGCGTGGCGGTGTCCTCCTCAGAGAACCAGACAGACGTCTGCAGAGGGCTGGGCACACGGCATGGAGCTCTAAGTGGGCAGCCCAGAGGTCCATGTAGGGCCTGCAGTCCACGGGAGTTCATTATAGAGATACTGTGAATAGGTCCCAATTCTGAAGAGCTCCGCAAGAATGCGAGAGGGGTCCGCAACGTGCCGGATGCTTCTAAAACCGCTCCCCGCGGCGATCTTCAGAAGAGGGTCTGTGTTGCTAGTATCCCCGAAAGGACGCCCAAGACAAACACTCACCAACTCTTTTACAAGGAGCCTATACAACATTGATGCTACGCAGGTAGACTGCGTGGCGGCATACGGAGATTCATTGCACTTCAGAAGGGCTTCGGAGCCTTCGCCTTCAAATAACTCGAGTTGTATGAGACCCGACTATGGACGAAGGATGTCCAGCTCACTTTGGGATCCCGATTCCCCCGTCGGGGTATGCTGGGACAGCGCCGGACACACGGACACGCAAAACCGAAGGTTGCCTAGCAAAGCGCTGAGGCAAAGGCTGCACCTGGCGACCAGAGCTCCAGATGTCAAACTCCACGCGGTAGTCCAACTGGACCCTGAGCTTGAAATTTCCTTCCACACCCTCTGGAATTCTGGCAAGGGCAAGGGTGTGAATTTGCAGGGACAACTTCCTTCTTAGCAAAATCCATTGAACTTATGTGAGACCATTCTGTTGGCGCTGCCGGCAAGGTCTGTCTTGCAGCTTTGGGTAGCAACCGAGCACGATCTGATCTGCACACTATCAATACATAAAGGTACCAGTACATTTGCCTGAGCCTGACGACGCATCAACCTTGTTTGAGCTTGTCCGTGTATGTCACTTGTCAACAGAACTCCGCACAGACTGATGAATCATTCTGACCTGTGCCAACCGCTCGCCGCCATATGGGTGTATTCTGGAGATATCAGCAGTATTTAATAAGAGCAAGAAGTCATGAGGATAATCTCAGAACATCTTGTTGGAGGGCTCCCGGCCACGCCACGCTGCCGTCATCTGCCTCGTTGTGACAAAGACAGCATCCAAAGGGACCGGAGTAGCAGCACCCTTTATAGAATCTCCGCCGGAGAAGATGGCTGCCGAGGATGGTGCCAGGCCCATGTGGTCCGCCTCGCTTGGTGCCTGTGCTGCCACTGCTACAAGTCCAAGCGAAGTGTGTGGAGGCTCTTCGGGCCTGCGCCAGAAACCTTTGCACAGCCGGCCAGATTGCATATGTGGGGAACTGCTCGCCTCTGTGCCTCAGGAAGCAGCAAGGACTGCGCAAGGCCAGCTAATTGATTCAGCAAGTCAGCGGAAACAGCAGCCTGATGAACCTGACGTCTCTAGTTCCAGAGTCTGGAACAGAGAACGTGTTGCAGGAGGAGGAGGAGGAGGATTGGCCGGCAGGTACGAGCATTTTGTTTGGGACGTAGCTCACATGCACCGGACCTGCCACTACAGGAAGCTGGGTCAGCCACTGTAGGAAATCCTCAGCGCACTTGCCCGCCCTCTCTCTCTCCAAGAAAAGGGAAGGGTAAGGAACAGAAGGAGCTCCGAGAACTCGGAGCGCTCTTCGGAACCCTGTGCGACTCTGTAAATCCAAAGTGCATGCGAGCTGCTTTCAGCATGGAAGGCCAGCAGTTCCACTGCCCCTTCACAACCTAGGGCCCACAGTCGTCTTGGAGCTCAAGCACACCGTCCGATCCCGCTCTCAGCTCTAGCGTCTCTGGCATATTCCGATTCTTGCCTTGAGCTTCGCTTCCCAACGCAGGCGCCGACAGAACTCGACGACCGCGAGCTGCGCCTCTGGCTCTTGCGACTGCTCGCGAGGGTCTAGGTCATGCGACCAAACGGTGAAGCGCTCCTCGCGTCGGGAAAGGTCGAAGGTGGGATCCATCTCGTAGGCATAGCTGCTGCCACTGACCTCACACTGTCGAGAGGCGACTGAGTCAGCCCGCTGAATTTCACAATGTGAAACGTTTAACGGCCATCTCATCCTGCCTTCCGAACGCCCAGCAGAACGTGGATGACTGCCTGACCTACAGCACGATGCCACACAACGAACATCGTCACTCATCACTCCACAGCAGCCTGAGATGGGCTGATGACTCAGGATGACTATTCACGGTGCCAGACGGTCGTGAGGCATTCCTCGTGGCTGGAGGTGGAGCACCTCGCCGCAACCAGCAGCTCTCATGCAGCTCGAAAACGCCTCGACGTGACCCAAGTTGAGATCAGTTGAGCTCAGTGCAGGCAAAGTGGTGGCTGGCCTAGGAAGGCGAGCAGCTGCGAGCGGCGAGGGGAAGCTTGAGCGAGCGACCCCCCCCTCAACCCACTTCAACCTTCACCTCTTCCCCATTTCACGGAAACTCGGATTCTGGCCTGGACGTGGAGGCTGCTGTGCTTGCCTGGGAGGAGAGCTCTGACATTGTGGGCTTAACAGCGATGAGCTACGACTGCTGCGTACAATGTCAACCGCTGCATTGAACTTAGTGCGGTGCGTGCGGTGCAGTTGCAGGTTTCAGTGTTGTCGTCGTGGGCATGGTTGACGCCAAGGTAGTCAGCGTCGACTGTGTTGATGGAACGGTGGTAGGCTGATGATGCTCTGGCTGCGTCCGTGATGTTGTTTGACTGTGTCTGGGTGGTGGTGGCGTTGGTCGGTGCATACTGGGCAGAGTTGTGTGCGAGGGCATACGTGTTGGCATCTGCGGTCGCAGCGTTGACGTCCCAGGGTGCGTCGTCCTGACAAGGAGCAGCTTCTTTGCTTTGGCAGCTGGGGCTAGACTGCGCCGGCGAGCGAAGCACGAGCGAAGCACGAGCGAAGCACGAGCGAAGCACGAGCGAAGCACGAGCGAAGCACGAGCGAAGCACGAGCGAAGCACGAGCGAAGCACGAGCGAAGCACGAGCGAAGCACGAGCGAAGCACGAGCGAAGCACGAGCGAAGCACGCGCGAAGCACGAGCGAAGCACGAGCGAAGCACGAGCGAAGCACGAGCGAAGCACGAGCGAAGCACGAGCGAAGCACGAGCGAAGCACGAGCGAAGCACGAGCGCAGCAAACGACCCGATACTTATCTTGTGCGTGCAGCAGTAATCCGAGAAGAGCGCGCGCCTGGCAGTCGCCGAAGCCTGGGCATCAAAAGCGGCTCTGCAGACATCTGCAGCCATCTGTTCAGTCATTGCTGCTGTCCGGCGCACCTCTTCCAGCTCTGCGCCGAGCAGGGAAAGCATCTCCCCGTGTTCATGCAGATACTGTCGGATCTGGCGCTCCTCGCTGCGTGGGCAGGCTCTCCCTACATGTTCCCTTCTTTCTGCCCTAGAACTTGTGGCACTTGCCGCACACTATGGTTTACACTGCCTGCTCTTTCCATCTCCGTCCTTTTCTGGGGTGGCGTGCTTGAAGTGCAACATTACCTGGCTAAGGAAGGTCTTAAGCACATGCACAAACACAACAAGCAACAAGCGAGTGTCAAGGCCTCATACTGACCCTCTTGCAGTCGACGACCGTCGATCACCTCCCAGAACTGACCACTGTCTTGCAACCATGCAAGTAGTTGCAAGATCACCGGACATGTACCTTGATAATGTCCAAGCTGACGTCGTCAGGCTGCAGTCGCAAGCCAGTCACGATCTGCTCCTGTTCCACACGGCACTGGCGCCAAAGGCACCCCGCACAGCTTACCTGAGCTCCCAGCGTGCACGACATCCTCAAATTCCTGAGAAGCCATGAGGCCATCGATTGAAAGGCTTCAGCTTCCTATGCGGAGTCGGCGTTCCTACCAGGATAAGCCGGACATGCGTCCTTGATGTCGGCATACGAGTGGCCCTTGACCTGAACTGTGAATGCGTATACCACATGGACAGGGTGAAGTAACAGAAAAGGCGAGGCAAAGCAGCCGCCATGCAGCAAGCACTAGCGTGGATATCAAGTCAGCCCGTCCAAGGCACATGAAGGAAAATATCACTCTTGGTTGCAGCAGAGGAAGACAAAGGTCTGATGAAAACACTCCGTGCCTTCAGCGCCAGGTCGAAGTGACTGGCAGCCTGGAGTGTTCCCTACATATTGTCTTAAAGTACGACGTTGCCTCCCTATACACATATTATGATTTCTTATCTACTAACTTGAAGTGAAAGCTTAGCCGGTCACCGGTGCCGGGGGCGAGGGCCGCGCTGGCGCAGGCTTTGGGGGCCTCGGGGGCATGGGGGGCATGGGAAGTTGACCCCCAGCATCGGGGGCCGAGAAATCTTCAAAGAGAGCACTCTCAGAGCACGCAAATATTTTAAAGATTCTAAAGGACATGAAATCCTTCAGGAGGATCCCGATTCTGAATTTGGTCATGTTATTGAAGAAGATCCTGAGTCTGACCAAGATGAAGTCTAGCACGCTGAGAGCACTCGACTCGGCCTTCTGGAGGTTCCAGGAACGGGCTGTCTTGTCGGTGTCATGGTGGTCCTGGGTCCCCTCCCTGGAAACTCAGAGTCCGCAAGCCCTGCACACAACCGTCTGCGACACCGAAAGAGCAACAGCTCTCAAGCGCCAGAGCCACATCTGAGGGGGGTGCGCAGCTCTTAGGACGTGGCGGGTGCGGTTGTGGGTACGATGAATGTGTCGGTGGGTGCGGACGCTGTGGCCATGACCTGGGCGTGTCATCTCGCCGCTCGGCTATACCAGGTTTCTCGGCTCATGGAGCCATGAGCTTAATCTTCGCAGGCAGCTGAGGCTTTGAGATGAGGTTGCGGCGGTGTCCAGTGTGTGGTCGTGGGAGGGGAGCTGGGGAAGTGGCCGGGCCTCAGAATGCCAAGACAAGCCAAAGCAGAGAGGCAGGATCACAAGAGCAAGAAGCAAACATTGACGAAACGAGCGCTAAAGAGGAAGTCCAAAAACAAGAAGGAAAAGATGGCATGCGGGTATTGCCCAAAGTAGGGGTGCCCCTCTTCTACCCCACATAGAATAAAAATCCCTTAAAGGGACCCCCAAAAAGGGTACCCCCTATTTCCGAGCAAACCATACAAGGCCTGGGCTCCTGGCAAGTGGAGAGGTGGGGGCTCCGCCGGCTCCTGCTTTGGCCTTGGGGAAGCGTCCCTAAACATCCCCAAACATCCCCGAAACATCCCCAAAACATCCCCAAACATCGCTAAGCCCCTAAACCATGACATGAACTCGTGGCCCCAACATGCTTCCCATGCACCTTGAGGCCTCTTGAGGCCCACGCCCTCCGTCACATGGAACCCCGGCGGCCTGCGCCGTGCCGTGGCACATCTTGAGCTCCTGATCTGGCAGAAACCCACCGATTCAGAACAGCTAGGCTATGCTGCCAGTGGGATACCTCAGACTTGCCGGCTGCAATTTGCAATGACGCAATCAGGCCCCCGTGTCCATCGAAGCGATGCTGGTCTCGTTGCCGAACCGCCTTCAAGTGCGGCTCGAAACTTAAAGACTCTCACTCAGAGTCGCCTGATGCCGGGCTAGAACTAATTGGACATTGGACAGCGGCTTGAAGCAAGTCGATTCACAACTTCACAACCTATCTTCCCAGTAAAGGTTGTGCATCATGGCTGCCGAGTCACATTTGAAGCTCCTGCAAGCCACCAAGGTTGCTGTCCTGTCAAGTTGCAGCTGGTTGCAATGGCGGTCGATTTCAATCCTGGAGAGGACTGCAGCTGCAAGTAGCTCTCTTCCGGCGTCCTGTGGGAAGAACTTGGGCAAACCGTTCGAAGGGCGCAGGTTGCGAACCTCAGGGAAGCTCACAGGCTTGCCGCATCTTGCCACCGCCGATCCAGAATGGGCGGCAGTCAATAGAGAGATCAAGTTCATGTTCTTTCAGCTCTCGCGTCCTTTCACATCCTTGTACACGGCACCTTCACCCCCCACGGACAAGCGATCCACCGATCACAAGGAAACCATTCGCAGCCTCTCGCCATGTTAATAACAGCACTCATCCGGTGCCCATCCCTGATGAACAAAGTGCATGAACGGTATCCCATAAACTGCGGTTGAGATGTGTTGAGGCCCCTGATCTCTTCGACACAATTTACATGTCATGGTTTAGATCTGGATCAACGCGGTATGTTGGTCAATCCTTGTCATGACTCTTCCTTCCTTCCGACAATCCTGAATCAAGCCCATCAAGTCTGCTCCTGATCATGCACCTTGGCTGTAAGCCCCCGGCAGCCGATTGGAGAGCGAACACGCTTCCCTGGACCCGGTCACTCTGTGAGAAGACTCTCAAGGAGATTCTCAAACATTCTCAAACAAGAGTGGCCCTTTTGAACCTCTGAGCCCCGAACGCTGGCACCCAGCAAACTGATGCCAAGCGCCAGGATCTGGACAGAGCTTGTCAGTCATAAAACCCTGAGCAAGGCCCTTTGGGCCCAAACTTTTTGGCGCTGCGTGCCTTGAATGCAAGGCCGCCTCCGCTGAGCATGCCCTGGTCGGGAGAACCGCATCGCGCCGGATTCTTAAGAGAGAGACTCAGATTTGCGACCTGTCATGCCGCAAGAAAACACATGTAGTGCAAGCTCGAGTGAGCTGCCACCTTGGAGGAGGCTCGCCGGACGACGTCTGGCGACGGACCTGGCACGATTTGCTCAATGAGAAGTCAAGATAACACCGAAGCCCGGGACTAAGAAACGCGGTTCGGCACGGCAGGCCGAAGCCCTCAACGCGGGTTCGGCACAAAAGGCAGAAGGCCGAAGCCCGGCTGCCCTCACAAACCAAAACCGCTCCTTGGACATGTCAGACCCGGAGAAAGCCATCCGAACCTCAACCACAAGCCTGCATGTTGCAACAATGCATGCAGCAAACTGATCAAACCCGCACTCCAAAAGCCCTTCCAAAAGCCATGCAAAGACTTCGAAGCTCTCAAACCTCTGAAACTTCAAGCTTTCAAATCTTCACAGCTCGCAAACCCTAGGAAATGATCGTCGAACCGCCTGGAGAAGAGCCGGAAACGTCCTCAAGGGAGGAAGGGACGCCGTCGGGTCTCGTCGGGTCTGGAGTTTGCGGGCAAAAGGCGCTGCATCGTCTTGGCGATGCAATGTCTCGGAAGAACTGGCGTTAAATTCACGCTTGTCAACCCTACCCAGACTGGCAGCGATCGAGCCACTGAAGCTCGCTTTTTTCGAAGTTAGGGGGACTCGATTAGGGGCCCCGTATTGTCGTAAACCCCCATGTAGTGCCTGCAGAATCCCTACGCCTAACTCCTACTTACGACCCCCTACCCTCGTTATACATTAATTTCCTGGGTTTAACAGGCCAGGAGAAATGCATAACGAACCCTAAAGACATGTGATCGTTTTTTGCCTTTGTGCTCTTCGGTCGCTAGTCATCACTGAAAAGGCCGTTCCCCCCGTGGGCCTTTCAGGCGTGAGTTGGGAAGAGCACCTAATAACGGAACTACGAGCTACGATGCCTGAGTAGGCAAAAGAGTTGGTGACAAAGTGTGAATCTCTATGAGAAGTTGCTTGGGCACGTGGTCTGCTGCGGGGATCTGCTAAGGCCCGGAGAAATGAAAGCTCCCCAGAAATCCAGGGGCTGCCTCCTACAACTGAGATATTGGGACATGGGCGACAGGGGGCCTATTTCATGGAGCTGCATCGGGAGCCGCAGAATGTATGACGGACACCCCCCCCCCCATACATTCCCCGCCTCCCTACTACACCAATGAGACTGTCTGCTCGTGTTGCCCGTATCTACCCACCAAGCTAGGCATGTACCTCCCAGAGCTGCGACCTTACGGCATCTGGACCCATCTCCGGGAGCCGCAGAATGTATGACGGACCCCCCCCCCCCATACATTCCCCGCCTCCCTTCTACAATGTTGGGGATGTACCTCAGAAGACCAAGGCCTGGAGCCTGGAGCTGAGATCCAATGAGACTGTCTGCTCGTGTTGCCCGTATCGAACAGGGAACCGGCACGGATGCGGAGTGAGGCATGGATTATGATGCACTTCTACATGTGTCTGTCGTTCTTGCACGTGCGACTGTCTTCCAGGCGTTGCTGAAACATATCTGCATCTTGCAAGGGCAATGTCGCAGCTTGAACCCCTGCAACATCGGCAACTCCAACATCAACATCACCACCACCCTCGTTATACATTTTTGCCTTGGTGGACCGATTCTCTCCCGAAGTACAGGTACCCTCGTTATACATTAATTGGGCGTGGGGATCCTGCAGAGAATGAGCTGGTGAAAGGCCCTGCGCTCCTCCACGTCCACGTCTGATCCCTGGTTGTCGACCAGCTGCTCCTGGTGTTTAGGGTTTAGGGTTTAGGAAGAGAAATTCTCTGTGGGTGGGCGCGCCAGGGATACTCCCAGGATTCTCCCAATGAAAATTCTCCGTGGGCAGGCACTCCAGGGATACTGGGTGGTTTACCTGGAGGGCAGCTCTGCACGGGACTCTCCGTGGGGGTTTTTTGGGGTGGGAGCTGCAGAAAAATACTCACCAGGATTCTCTGCGGATTCTCTGGGGACGGGCAATCCAGTGACTCGGCGGGACTCTCTGCAGACAGGAGACCGGGCCAGGAGAATGTCGTGACTATGTTTCTTCGACTCGCTTCTTGAATCTCACGTTGAACCCAAAACATGAACTAAACCCCTTTGTTTCGGTGGTCTCGCACGTCAAGGTTCGCGATTGGATGGCAGAGACACGCGCACGGCGTGTGCCATGCACAAGTCAATGCCAAGCGGTTTGCTGTTTCAAGGCCGTCCCAGGTCATGCTTCTGCTTGGCTTGCTGGACCTGCCTCCATGGGCGAAGATTGCTCCGCTTCAAGCAGAGCGCCTTGGGGCGTCCACAGCAGAGCATGCTGGAAATGGAGGACAGGTATAACCCTAGTGATCTGCGTGCTCTAAGAGCCAAGATACCTTTGCAAGTGGACCGCTCGTAGTTCACCAATATAAGTGGATACCTCTGCTGGTTTTTGGTTCGATCCGTTCCAGCAATCAGGCAATCACAACAAAGTGCCGTAACTCCATGAGTCCGATGACATGGTGTCTAGAGCAGAAATGCCGGAAAGCTGAAAGCCCTTCCCGGCCCAGTTGCATGACCGCGACCAGGACCCAGTTCACCTTGGAGACCACATTCGCCTCGGCTTCCTGCCGAGAGCGTCTGGAACAAGCAGACCCGGATCGGGCCTCCTTCCTCCTAACCCAACCCTTCCCCCCATGCCAAATTTTCTGACGCCACCCCCCCCCCCCCCGCCCTGTGGGGACCCCCCCCAATTTCTTGGAGGAGCTGCAAACCGGTGCCGTGGAGGGTCCCGCTTTGGGTGGCTCCTACAGGGGGAGTGCCTCAAAAACCCCCCCCCCCACCCCCCCCCCCCCCCACCCCCCCCCCCCCCCCCCCCCCACCCCCCCCCCCCCCCCCCACCCCCCCCCCCCACCCCACCCCCACACCCCACCCCCCCACCCCCCCCACCCCCCCCACCCCCCCCCCCCTCCCTTTTTTTGCGAAACCCTCTTCCTCCTTTCCTGTCCTGGGGCCGGCCCGGCTGCCGAGGCGGCGCGCGCAAGCGTTTACAATTAACATAGCTGTACTGTGAGTTGGTACAGTCAGCGGAGCTGAGAAGCCTCTTGCACGCTGCATAGCTCCCGGCAGGCAATGGACGTGAGGGATACATGGTGGTAGATAAAGTGCATGAAGCAGAGGCCCAGGGCCCACTTGCTTCAGCAACAAACCGACACGTTTTTTGCACCACATGGACTCATACGGAATCCTTCGGGCGGTTGCACTTGGCCTAGCAATGCGCCGAGCTGGGGTTTCATTGGCTTGCGTGCTTTCTGTTTCTAATACCAAGCTGGAGCCTCGCTTCTTGGATTTCAAAGCTTGCCGCGCCAAGTTGCTGTGATGCAGGCACCCATGAAGAAGCCGAACTGCCGCAGCGGGCCGATGGAACTGGGCACCAGGCTGTCTACGCGCCCAATCCCCCAATCCTCTCTGTCAGCATTCGTGTGCAGGGCCTTGCCAGGTTGGCGAAGAAGGATGCGGCGGTGGTGGCCTCTGGATTGTGCAATCAATCCGCGCTCACTGAGTAGCTCTGGGGCCCCGACAGAAGTAGCAAAGATCGCCATTCCGGCTTTGCAGTACATCGACCACCTCTTCGCCAGGAGGGAAACACCCCTCAACGTCAGAAACCCCTGCAAGAGTCCCTTATTCCCCTCCTTTGAAAGCGCCGGGCCGGCCGCAGCGGGGAACGGGGTAAGGGGGGGCGGGCTACGGACCTTCTCAACACAATCTTTGCAACTACGTCGATCCTAAAACCCTCAACCCTAGGTTCCTCCAGTGGGCCGGGCCGAGGCGGACGACGTGCATCGTTTAAACATCAGTGTTAAACAAATAGAAGAATCCATCCAGACACCTTCCAACCAAGGGAAAGCTGCAAATTTGTGTCGAGCCACAGCCGCCGCGCCAGGGCCATCTCCCCCGTGCCGTGGCGCTGGGCAGGGCCACGGTTGGGTCTCTGGGTCTCTGGGCCAGCGACGTTATCTTCACGCTCGTCACGTCTAGTTACTGTGCTTTGCTTAGGGCATAGGGGTCTCAGAGGAGGGCAGGCCGAATCATATTGCATTGTCACACGGCTGTGTGTCACCCAACAGTCCATCGCTCTGAGCAGCCTACCCGCGAGAGGACCCACACCTTGTTTCAGGCAAACGTAGCTTTCCAGAAGCTTCCAGAAAGAACCTAAAGACTTTAGGACAACTCAAGTATGAGGAGCCAGCGTCATGCAACACGAATACATCATCGGCACCTGTCAGCAGGGCTCTGCGCACACCTTCCACGTCAGCATCCAGGAATCCACGAGGGCGGCACCCACTCCAAGCACGACGAAAAACGACCTTGGCTACCCAAAAAGGCGCTGGAGAGCATCACTATAAGCATTCGTCTACACATCAGGAACCAATGCAACGCTTGGCAGCTAATGTCGGCCGGTGTCGACAATCAACAGAAGCAAAAAGATTTGCGCAGCTTCACTGTGCCTGAAACCGATTTGACTAAAACCCAGGCGACTCCTCATGGTGTGGCACAATGCGGAGAACAAAAAGAGCACGTCAGCCATACGGCCTAACAAAGCCACACAACATCAACCAAACACTTCGGCTCATGACCAGCGAAAGCGACACTGGCCGAATCGTTACCACATACCCATTCGCCGGCACTTCATGCGCGAACCATATTCACAGAATGCAACCTGAAGACTTCCATTCGTCACGGCAGCCGAAGCCACTCGGCTTGGCTGGGACGGATGTTGTTTCTTCATCGTGAAGTCAGCGCATCGGCGAAAGCAACACTTGCCGAAAAGCTACCACATGCCCATTCGCCAGCACAACATGCGCGACCCTTGCTCAGAGAATACAAACTGAAGACTTCCATTCGTCACGGCAGCCGAAGCCACTCGGCTTGGCTGGGACGGATGTTGTTTCTTCATCGTGACGTCGGCGCATCGGCGAAAGCAACACTTGCCGAAAAGCTACCACATGCCCATTCGCCAGCACAACATGCGCGACCCTTCCTCAGAGAATACAAACTGAAGACTTCCATTCGTCACGGCAGCCGAAGCCACTCGGCTTGGCTGGGACGGATGTTGTTTCTTCATCGTGAAGTCAGCGCATCGGCGAAAGCAACACTTGCCGAAAAGCTACCACATGCCCATTCTCCAGCACAACATGCGCGACCCTTGCTCAGAGAACACAAACTGAAGACTTCCATTCGTCACGGCAGCCGAAGCCACTCGGCTTGGCTGGGACGGATGTTGTTTCTTCATCGTGAAGTCAGCGCATCGGCGAAAGCAACACTTGCCGAAAAGCTACCACATGCCCATTCGCCAGCACAACATGCGCGACCCTTGCTCAGAGAATACAAACTGAAGACTTCCATTCATCACGGCAGCCGAAGCCACTCGGCTTGGCTGGGACGGATGTTGTTTCTTCATCGTGAAGTCAGCGCATCGGCGAAAGCAACACTTGCCGAAAAGCTACCACATGCCCATTCGCCAGCACAACATACGCGACCCTTGCTCAGAGAATACAAACTGAAGACTTCCATTCATCACGGCAGCCGAAGCCACTCGGCTTGGCTGGGACGGATGTTGTTTCTTCATCGTGAAGTCAGCGCATCGGCGAAAGCAACACTTGCCGAAAAGCTACCACATGCCCATTCGCCAGCACAACATGCGCGACCCTTGCTCAGAGAATACAAACTGAAGACTTCCATTCATCACGGCAGCCGAAGCCACTCGGCTTGGCTGGGACGGATGTTGTTTCTTCATCGTGACGTCGGCGCATCGGCGAAAGCAACACTTGCCGAAAAACTGCCACATGCCCATTCGCTAGCACAACATGCGCGACCCTTGCTCAGAGAATACAAACTGAAGACTTCCATTCGTCACGGCAGCCGAAGCCACTCGGCTTGGCTGGGACGGATGTTGTTTCTTCATTGTGAAGTCAGCGCATCGGCGAAAGCAACACTTGCCGAAAAGCTACCACATGCCCATTCGCCAGCACAACATGCGCGACCCTTGCTCAGAGAATACAAACTGAAGACTTCCATTCGTCACGGCAGCCGAAGCCACTCGGCTTGGCTGGGACGGATGTTGTTTCTTCATCGTGAAGTCAGCGCATCGGCGAAAGCAACACTTGCCGAAAAGCTACCACATGCCCATTCGCCAGCACAACATGCGCGACCCTTACTCAGAGAATACAAACTGAAGACTTCCATTTAACACGGCAGCCGAAGCCACTCGGCTTGGCGGGACAGGGACGAATGCTGCTTTCTCACGGTGCTCAGAAGATGCAAGTTGCACGATCACCGCGTCAGAACAAGAAAAGAATCCGAGCAGCTAAAGCCACAATGTTCGGCCGTCGCTGCCCCGTCTAACCTTTCCAACCCATAGAATACCTTCAGGGGCGCCTGTCTACCATCTGCGATCGTCTGCAATACAATTTCTGGCAGATGCTTGGCCAAGCTGCAAGAAGTTGATCGCAATCATCTTGCCGTGGCCGTACACGAAGCAGTAGCAAGCATACCTGGCGAGCGCTGGGTTTTTGAAATGTGGACACGACGCTCTCAACCTTATGGCACCGGCTTCATGCTTAGCAACGAAACGGTGCAGAATAAAATCGACCTGAAGCTCACCCAAACCTGCAGAACGAGCAGACGGCTCCATGCTTTTCCTCTTGCTGTGTGACCCCTTCCATCGGCTTCCTGTCTGCTCCCTTTCACTCCGCGCAAACTGCTCCTGTGGAGCAGCTGCTGGTGGCAGTCGGCAGAGGCCCTAGCCAACGAGAAACTCGCCATTCATATGGAACTCAACAATGTCCAGAAACATTGTCTTTCAAAATCTTTCAAATGAGGGTAGAAGAGAAGCAGCATTCCTGCCACTCGCTTAGAGGTCTCCGCTTGCAGTCATGAGCCGCGGACGCATGTCAGCATGTCTGGATTTTAGCTACGGCTGTCACGACCGAGCATTATCTTGAAACGCGTAGGTGGGGCCGGAGGAAGCAACCCTGTCCCAGCAGCAAGTCACTCAGGCACGGGTGCAGCCCATGGATCAGAGTCCTCCTCAACTATGGACAGCTGTCAGGAATGTAGCGCTGCTGCTAATTTTTGTGCACCCATGGCTGCCATGCAGCTTGACACACGGTTCTGTCGCGGTACTCTTTGCGTCTATCGCTCGAAAAAATGCCTTGGCAATGCTCCATTGGCTGAGGACGAGAAATAAAGCGGAAAGCTGTCGTGACCCCCAATGAGAGTGTCCTCGAAGTCTGGACTGCACCAGACAGCAGAGGCACTGGTCGGGCGACCCTGCCAGACTTGCAAGCGGGTCTAGATATTCTAGATTCTAGGCAAAAAAAACACGCAAAAGAACATGTTGGGACATGGACTTTCGAATGCTTTGCACACAAAATGCAAGGCAGGCCCAGAAGTGTCCACGCAGGAGGAAGAATGACTGTGGCTAACTGAGATTCCTTGTGGCAGGTTAGGAGGTTGGGGGCAAGGACTCATGCACACCTGACCATGTCAGGATCAACCCTCACGCCTTCAGCTAAGACCCAAACAAGCCTCCTTCTGCTGCCGCCAGGAGCACCAGCGCCGTATCCGCACACCGGAGAAGCTGCATAGGCGCACGTAGCCCTGAGATGATGATTTCAAGCTCAAGGCTGAAGGCTTTAACCTCAAGGCCTGGAGAGAGAGAGAGAGAGAGAGAGAGAGAGAGAGAGAGAGAGAGAGAGAGAGAGAGACAAAACGCTGGGTGTAGTCCGGGCTTAAGGGCACAAGCTTCACAGCCAGCAGTTCAAGGCCCTTAAAGAAAATCCGTTTACCCACTGCTCTGTGGTTCCTAAGCTGCCCTTGCGTGTGCATGGTGTGGACGCTGTTCCCTCCAACGGAGGCCAAGGATGAACCTGGCACGCCTCACAGTTCTTCGAGCCGTAGCTCCTGAAAAACGACACAAAGTCTAAACCTGACATTAATCCCTACTAAGGACTGTTAGTACAAGGGGGAACATCCCAACCTACACAAAGCCTCTGCCTCTTTGGAGAGAAGCGCGTGCCACAAGTCGCAGGTGCCAAGCTCATCCATGCCTCACAGGGCAGGCAGGGCAGGTGCCTGAAGCTGCTTTTGTTTGCAATTTTGCAGCTCTGTTCACGTAGCATGTGACAGTTGTGGTCTCCAGGATGACAACATCCTGATTCCGGCCAGGATGGGGTTGAAATCCGATTGCCAGGCAGAGTTGTAGTACGATTGGCCCAGCTGCTTTGCTCTTTTCCGATTGAATACTATACATGTATACCATGACTCAACAGCAGTCAAAGCAATTGGATGCTCATGAGAGCCAAGTGTCAAAAGTGCTGTGTGTAGACCGTGATCGACTGTGGAACGCTTCTCTTGCCTCCTTTGCATTAAGGAGAGGCAGTGGCCTGCACAACCTACGGGTGCTCGTGAGGAAGAGAGTGTCTTGTGACTCTTGTGTTCTCTGAGACTCGAAAGATCCAGTTTCGAGCCATGGCATGCTCAGCAGCTGAGCCTGCCATGGCTTGAAACTGGATCTTTCCCGGTGTCTTGGCTCTGAGCCTACTCAAAAAGTTCGGAACACAGCAGCACTCCTACAAGCTCGACACCTAGACCTAGCATGTCTTGAGGGCGTTGCAGATCACAGACTTCAAGCATTAAACATGAAAGCGGTCATCTGGGAGTCGTTGCTGCTACAAGAGAGTGACGTGCACCCTGCAAATCCCTGCAAACTCACATGAACATCATGAACCGATGCTGCATCTGACTGCACAAAAGCTGTCGGAGGCCTGGAACTTCAGGAACGCACCTTTGGTCAGATCTCATTTGGGTCACAAACAAAAACGGATTCAGAATGGCGCGACTGCTGCATGGAGCAGCTGTCTTTTTATGTAGCTTTGCCTGGAGGCTTCTCCAGACAGTTCGGATGCAAACTCCTCCTATTTGAACCACAACCGTCACAACCGCCAAGGCTTTGCCAAGGCTTTGCCAAGGCTCCACCGCTGGAGCGCTGCTGGCTGGCCAGCCGTGTCGTCCTGGCAGTCTTTGTCGCGTTCTATCGCCTTCTCTGAGTCTTCCTAGCTTCATGTGCCCCCGAAAACACCGCTCTCCTGTGCGTCGTCCGGGGCACTTTCTGCACTCGACCGCGCTGCAGCCTCGGGTAGGGGGGTCACAAAAATCTTCGCTAAGCAGCTGTGAGAACGTTCTCGAGAGGATTTGTGAATTGCTTTTGACTGAGCCGACAGGCAGAGTTCTCAGCTTTTGCTCACTGATTCTGGTCGTGGCTTCAAATTGGAGTTTCATGCGCAGCCACCTTGCAGCAAAGGGGCACCCATCACTGAGCGGGTAGTCGCGGCAATGGAAGGCCTGGGCATGTGCAGTAGTACAAGTATAACATGGCGTCACGGCATCAGAAATCTACTCATGCACTTTCCAAACGCTTCGTCAGAGTGTTGTCAATTAGGTATTTAAACTATCCATGTTTAGCATGTTGTGGAACATATGTCCTGGGATATCCGAGCACTTCGACTTAGCTTGCGCATTATCGCTGGCGGTTCGGTTCGCTTAGATAACTCCAGCACATCTTTCCTCGAAAGAAAGCAAGACCCCTTCACCCTGGACACGTCGCTGTTGCGCACATTCCCTCAGCGAGGGCCGACATCGTTTCCCGATGTGCAGCTGAGCAGCTGCCAGGCGAGGGCTAAAACCCGCCGCTTCCCAGCCAGCATCAGGCGCAAAAGCAATGTCTACTTGCCAGGCATAAGAAACCTAGTGACCTAGTGCCCGCTTCAAGTAGCCATGTTTCTTCTAGTTCAAGACTTCCCTGGTGCAGACATGATGGCGCTCGTGGGATCTCCGTTCAGCCTGAGGCTTTGGGGTCGGCAGTTCCGGGACAGAGCGCAAGACATGCCAAGCAAGACATGCCAAGACCATGCGTGCCGCCCTGGCGCACGATATGGGAAATGATAGAGCTATGCAGAACAAGGCCATGACGGTCAGCACGACGGACCTGTTACACCGCACACAGACATCGAAGCGCGAAGCGAGGCCACCGACGTCGTCTTGAGAACCATCTGACTGCCAGAGCCCTGCCTGAGGTAGAAAACCAAATAGATGAAGATGAACAGCAGCGACCTCGAAGTTACGAGGACGTTCCTCGCGGAGCCCCCTCCCAGTACCCACCCCCTGCCCCCAAAAAAAAGAATAGAAGTGGAGGAAAACTGAGACCGCAAGCCCGATGGCGTAGGCTGCATCGTGCCAGACTGTCGCTTCAACCTGCACAAGGGATGACAACTTTCGTTTCAATGTTGCCGCAGGCACTTACAGGTGGAATGACAGCTTGTTGACTGACCAACTGGATGCACTGTGCCACATCTCCCTAAGCCGAGGCGTCAAGAGCGTGTGTCAGCTAAACGGAACTGTGGTCATACCTCACCAAGCCTCCAACTGCGTCACCTGGTCCCCATAGTAGTAGACGCGTAGCTTCTGGCACACAGCATCTCACAGAAGACTTTTAAAGCTCAGCCGCTTGGCCAGCTGCACGATGCTTAAGGATGCTGCTGACGGACACTTTGCTTCAGAGACACCACAGCCAAAGCCTGGGAGGAAGCCTCGATCAGGTAGGGCCGCAGCCTCGAAGCAGTGTAACATGTCGAAGCAGCACTCCACCAGTCAAGTCGGAGTTCCGAGAGCATGCCAAGAGCCCGTCTCGTCCCTGACAAACTCCCCGAAGATCTCCGCTTGGCGGTGATCCTCAGACGCTTGGTAAGGCTTAGCAGGTTTCGCCCTGGGCCTGAGAAAAGAAAAAGATGGACAAGATGGCGAATGAAACATTAGTAGGACTTATTGGGCTTTGGCAAGTCCAAGCGGCCACCGTGTCGTGAAATCCCCTGGAAAGGGGCAGTTTGTTTCACTACAGTGGCAGCATGTGACACGACGACAACACGCAACTTCCGCGACGCAAGCACACCCCCACCTTAAGGGCAATCCGAAGCGGAGCACGCTGCGAGTAATGTTCCCCTCAAGGGCCTCGAAGAATCAACTAACACACAAGCACATACAGCTGAGAACCCTTGGGCCCTTGCACTCTTCAGTTGGCCCGAAGAGACGCCGAAGTACCTGAAGTCCAAGGAGTCGAACACCAACAGCGGGTGGCTGGATGTAGCTGGTGCACTTGCCGTTTGCAGCAGACATCAAGTTCGACCTCCCGAATGCCCCAGTCGCCTATCCACGAAGTAGGAGTTGAACTTGCCAAGATTGGCCAAGATTGCCTGCCGCGTGACAAACTACGGCCAGAAGAGACAGCAGGGGTGGGATTCAGCGTGGCTGCGCGCGATGACGGTTGCCATGATGCGCCATGAGCCTGAATGGGAAGAAGGTGTTCTCCTCGACCATCCGGCGTGATTGTGCCTTGTCGTGACACGCCATGACTTGATGGAAGACGCACTATCTCACTCCCCACTGCTTCAAGTGACTGCGCTGTCTGCACCCTGCCTGTGCTAGCATCCACACTGGCAAAGAAATAGTTCACGGCCTGATGCGCACGTTATGCAATTTCGCCAAGTCTGACCAACCCCATCCGGATTCCCAGAAGTGCGTTCAAATTGGCGAGCCCTTATCCAAAGCAAGTGCTACCAAGTCCGTCGATGCTTTGCCTTGCTAGCCTTTCACGCCGAACCCTGTGCAGACTCCGGTTCCTCAACCCTCCTCTGAAAGTCTGCCGAGAATCCGAGAGGGGCCGCGCACAGCGCCCGTCTCCCGCCCTGAGGCAAACATGCCGGTAGCGAGGCAGCGCCTCGAGCCTCACACACAGTCAAGAAGAGCTACGAATGCAGTGCTCAGCCTTTGGCCCCAGGTTTGTTCGCGTCCCTCAAAGGAGCCAACCACCCTACCTTAAATGAGACTGAAGTATGTTAGGCGAGCCAAAAATATCTCAAAATAGGAGCGGAAGACATGCACCCAAACTGGCACATCATGCAACCACGAAGACCAGTGCATCATGTACCTCAAGACCCATGCCCTTCCCTGACTCGAAAATTCTACAGCCCAGAAATCATGAGATCCCCTTGTTCAAGCCAGCAGAGAGAATGCAACGAAGGAGAAAAATGGGACTGATCTCCTGGAGCCTTTAAGCTCCATTCGCTAACATGTAAAGACTTGTACCAAGAATGACAACAGGCCTCGTAGCAGTTTAGTAGAAAAAAAACGCAAGTTGAGAATTCTGGACAGTGAGTCATGCATACAGGACATGTGTCATAAAGAGCTGTAGCGACTCACAAACCTTAAGAACAAGTCCTGAAATCTCCTGAACAAGACTGGGCCTTTTTTCGATCTCGCGGATCCTGTTCAGGTACTCCGGCGTAAAGATATTTGAGCCTCGGCCCAGATGCCCTTATGTTTTATGGCCTTGTGTCGGTCGGGTTTGAAACCCCAATCCCTGCTGAGCTAGAGCCCTGAGCCACTGAGGCCGGCACCATCTGTTGTGGCATAAATCAATCGGACGAAGAACGCTGGGTGCGTCTGCTGCTCCTGAAACGACACCGAAGTCAGGGAAGCAGCGGAGTTGGGTGTCGACACTAAACGTTCTCAGATTTAATAGCAAGATGGAGGCAGCAACGGGGGCTCTGACCAGAAAGAACCACGTCAATTACTGGTTGAGGCTGAACTGCATCTCAGACTGTCCCGGCTCCTGCAGTCTTCGCCCATGCCGAGCCTGCGCACAACGACGGAGCTGCGGCAAATGGCCGAACATGAGCGAGATCGCCCGATATTGGACTTGCACACACACACACACACACACACATGTTGTCCATACTGGTGAATCGGCACCAGGTACTGCAAGTAGTTTTTTGCTCTCACTTCGCGCGTGCGCTTGTGACAACGCAGCGCTGCATCTGCTGTCCTCACGCGGGCTCTACGGTTGCAAGGAAGCATCGGGGGTGAAAAGAAAGTAAGTAGAAAAAGTAGCAAACGAGGGAGATGAAGAACAGGAAGAACATAAGCGCCGATGTCACAAAAAAGGAAAAGGAAGAAAAGGTGGAAGGCAGATGGCTCGCCGGTCTCCGGTCCAGCTGCAAGCGTTGCGCCGCTGCCAACGCCCAGAGGCGCTCGGCCGCCGCAGCCTCGCCGGTCCTGCATGCTTTTTGCTCTTTTATGACCCAGAGACCTCTCTCTGAGAGGGCGGTTTCGGCCCTCATCTCCTGACATTTACATACTGCCCGACCGCCTGGCGCACGCCGCCAGAACAGGGCCAAAGCTGCGCTGGCTCGGCGCCAATCGAGCTGAAAGGAAGGACCGCAGCTCCTCTGTGGCTCCTGGCGGCTTCTCTGCGATGGTAAAACGCTTTGATGTGCAAACTGCAATTCCCCAACATGGCACGAAGCCGAGAGAATCAAGAGCCAACATTGCTTTCGTGCCGTTTGCCGGCACAAGAAAGTGGGCTGAAACCGCAACGAACACTCGTGGACTTGCAACTGCCTGAATAACCCACATTACCAAACCAGGTGTGAAACAGTCCGGGCCTGACATGTCACCAGCGTTTGCTCGGCACTTTGCCATTGCCGACGCCACGACGACATTGGGCTGCAGCCTTCCCGCACAGATCAAAGGGGAAGTTCGCGCGCTCCTTCCCTGAACTCTGCAAGCTTGGCCTCTGGGAAAGCAACGCTGACAGCACGCGCTCGGCATTGGGCACATCGCCTCCAAAGAAGACACTTTGTTTGATTCAGCCAATGGCCTACTCCTGGCCTGCGCGCGCATAGCCGTCTAAAAGGGTAGCATAGCACACGACCTTGGCTAGCGGCTAGCGACTATCCTCAAGGACGGCCAGCAAGTTCGTACAAGCAGAATGTGCCAGAGAACGTGGGTGTTGGTTTTGGAGCTGGAGTGCTTTCAGAAGTCACGCAGTGAAAAAGCTCTGCCAACAGAGCCACATTCGGGAGCACGTGTTGGACGGCCATCCTTTGCAACACTTCCTCGGCGCCGTCAAGTTCGCCAGCACGGACATGGGCCAGGATCAGCGTGCCTTTGCAAAGATGTGCGAAACGTAGCTGGATGTCATAAACAAGTGTCCACAAGATCTTGACACGTGCGGGCACCAAAGTAAATGACTCGCCTATCTTTGGCACCCAGCAACCAGATTTCAACAGCGAGTAGCTTTGCGTGACCACATCGGGTTGCCAACCATTGGATCGGAGTTCGTTGAACATGTCCCGTGCCCGGACAACATCACCTACCACAGCTTGCCATGCGGTTGTGGGGTCAACCCTGAGACAAGAGTGGAATTCACGACCGCAGCACATGACCTTTCTTTGCGTAGGCACCCAATATGGCTGTGTAGCAAAGAAAGTTCCTGGGCGCAGGGTATGTGAGAGTAACTGCAAGTGTGCTGATGCAAAGGGCCGAGAGTTCAGCTGAGCTGCGGCTGCAGCGCGGTTTGGCGCATGTCCCGAAGCGCCGCTTCTGCACTCTGGACATCACCCTCAGCCGCATATAGCTTCAGCAGCACCTTCGAGGGGAGCTTGGGACACTCAACCCAAAAGGCATAACCGAGTATCCCAACATCAATAGAATACTTTTGCGAGTGTTGCAGAAGACTTTGAGAATACTTACTGGATGGGTCATAACCATGACCATTATACGTGTGTATGTGCGTATGTCTGTATATACTTCTTTAGCTTTGTCACATTGCTGCCACATTTTCCAGGCAGGTAGGGAAAGCACCCAGAGTCGTGTCTATGTTGAGGAACCGATTGCACGGCAAAAAGTCTGGAATCAGCTTAAGCCATCCAATAGCAGAAAAATGATACATACTTATTTTCCAATGTCAACATATTCATGTACGTAGATATGACCTTATGATTTATCAGATCAACTCCATCACCAGCGACAAGTGACGCTAATCACCGACAGCACCAACATGATGTCCAACATTGTCCAACCACATCACAAACTAGTCGAGCGTCTGAATCCTTTACGTAACCTTGTCTGGCCAAGGGGCGCCGTAGGTAACGACATTTGGCCGCATCTTGGTCAGCAGCCCTTCAGCAGCCTAAGCTCACAGGTGAGCGAGAGCGAGAGCGAGAGTGAGAGACGGAAAGAGGGCGAGCGAGCGAGAGACGGACAGAGGGCGAGCGAGAGCGGGAGGCACAGAAGCAGGCGTAGAGGCAAAGAATCAGACACACAGCGAGAAAGAGACACCTCGACACGCTGAGGTCAACACCTGTCGGTCCCTCAGCGTTGCATAGAGGTCCTCAGGGACTTTGTTAGGGTCTAGGGCTGTTCTAATTCGCAAAGCAACCAAGCATCCAATACAAGAAGCGCGCCGAACCGCTACCGATAGAATCCTACTTGGGCAGTGCTTCAGGGGCGGCGACTATGCCCCGTCTTGAAAACATGCCCGGCGAAGGGTGCATCGTCACCAAGCTAAACAACTCAGCACTCGCTGTTTCCCTTTGTCATTACGCCTCCTGCATTGTTAGGCAAGAAAGCCTTTTGAAGAACACTACACTTCTCGAGCGTGCGTATGCTCCATGAGCTGAATGCTCAGCACATCATGACTCCAAACCCCGTCCGGTCCATCAGGGCCGTGTAGCATGTCACGTCCGGTCGGATCGCCTCCTCCTTCATTTGCAGCAGGAGCGCCTCGGGGCTCGCTTAGAGCCAAGAAGCTCTCAATTCGTCCACAGGAAACGCGCTTCTATTTGCCTCGGCATCCTTGCGTCGTGAATCCGCGGCGTAGGCGCCTCGGAAATCGCTCCACTCCACAGACAAAGGGCAGACACCACCTAGTCCCGTGCGTGAATGGGCAAGCTGCGGCAAGCTGCCAAGCGTTACAAGAACATGTGTTCTCATGGGCTTGGCGGGTTCGCAGAACAGCTATTGGAAGGATCACGGCCAATGTCAGACCGGGCACGTACGAAGTTGGTGTACGTCCTCACATCTGGCTGAAGCTGCGAGCGGCCTGAGGGGTCATCAAATCTGGCAGAGGAAAACTGAGGACATGTGCGACATGACGACCCTTACTGCATAAACTAGACCACACATCCTATCCGGCCTGAATCCCCAGGTCAAAGTTATGGCTTCTATTTTCCACCCTTACCGAGTTCCTGTGAGAAGAACATGCAGAAACAACTATTTTTTCTTCTTCTTCTTCTTCCTCTTCTTCTTCTTCTTCTTCTTCTTCTTCTTCTTCTTCTTCTTCTTCTTCTTCTTCTTCTTCTTCTTCTCTCTTCTTCTTCTTCTTCTTCTTTTTCTTCTTCTTCTTTTCTCCTCTTCTTCTTCTTCTTCTGCATGTACTCCTTTCGTACTGGTGGACTGGCACTCATTCCATGATTCGTTCGTTCACTCATCCGGAAAAAACGTAGGTTGTACCGTACGCTGTCCTAGCACATCGTGCACTAGTACGTTCCAAGACATGGGTGCCAGCAAGCAGCATTCGGCTATTCGCATCTGTTCGAAGAGTGTACACGGACCATACACCCATGCGCACCCTCTCTGACAAGCTCTGGGCAGCCCGCGAAGCTTCGCGAAGAGGCTCTCGGCCAGCGCACTTTTGCCAGGTGCCACTGAAGCCTTCCCGCATAAGACGCGCGTGCTGGTTACAAAAGCTTGGCATGGCTTCATGGCCACTTCTATGGACTCTTCGGAGATAGGAGCCTGCATGGCTGTGGACATGCTGGTGATATCTGGTAGCACTGCTGCTCGCCGCAGAGATTCCAGGATGCGAAGAGCCCCCTCGCAGTCTCTGGCGGTTGCATAGGCCTGCTTGGCGCACCAGTGCAAATAAAATGGGAGGATGCAAGTCATTCTCAGCAACCTTGAGCAACGTGTTGTAAGAAATCAAGTCGGGCTTCAGCTGCTGCTGCCTGCAGCGAGACTCTCTTCAAATGCAACCCTCACCTGATGCAACTCGCCGATCACTCTTGAAAGTGCCTGATGTCTAGGAAAACTGCTTCTGCTCCGCGCACGTCCCCTGGCAAACAACTCCAGTGAGTTTGGTGAGGCAGGCAAAGCTCCGGTCCTTTGGCAGCGTGAATGTCCATCAATGCCCCGAGGGCTCCAAGGCCTTCGCACACGGCACCGCGCCGAAAAGTCACGGCGCCTCTCACAGTCCGCGCCTCCTCCCTGCGAGGCATTGAGCGCTGCCCACTCCTTTGGGCAGTCGAGAACTTAAACGTCTCATCATTCTTCGCACTCCTTGGCTCTGACCCCCTGCCAGCAACGCACCAGGCTGCGACAGACAGCGAGGAACTCCATCTCACTGCCAGACCAACCAGCCCCACGGCCACCCAATGCGTTCTTTCTTCATTGCTTCTTGTTTCGTTTCTGCAGGTACTTCGGATTCTCTCTTTGTTTTATGTTCTTCATTTACCCGCCCGCCCTCCCTCCCTCCCTCCCTCCCTCCCTCCCCTCCCTGCCTGCTTGCCTTCCTTCTGTTTCTTTCTTGGCGAATTAGAGCCGAAGCCCCCTGCCTCTTCATTCCTTCCTTCCATCGCCCACCCCCCCCCCCAAATGAGGGGACTCTCTCTCTCTCTCTCTCTCTCTTGCTTTCCTCTCTTTTCTCAGAGAGAGAGACACAGAGAGAGAGAGAGAGAGAGAAGTCGTGTTCTGTCGAGGGGCCGGGCCTCGGTGTCCAAGCGATGCGGCGGGGTCGTGGCCAGCCGCAGCTCCGCGTTGCGGCCGGGCCCGTTCAGGCAGAGCCCCGGGCGTGGGCAGCGAAGGAGCCTGGGAAAATTGCCCTGGGGGGACTGAGGAGCTCAAGGTGTCCGCATTCAACTCAGACCCCAACAGAGCTTCTAAGCCCGTGAGCAGCTGGTGGCAGGGAAGCAGGAAGGCCGCTCCTGCCAAGGCTCAAGGCCGCGCTGCCTCGATGGGCACCAAACTCCGGTTGCCGCTGAGACGCCGTCCTTGCTGACGATCATGCGCTCGGGCTGGTCCCATCTAGGTTGGGGCAACATGCTGCCTCATGCTGTGCGACGTCTAGATGCAAGCGCAACTATTCTCTTGCTTCCGGGAGGCATGGCAGAGCACTCCTTAGAAGCCATAAGTATGATGCTACGATTGCTGCGTCACATGCGGAAAGCAACTGACATCAACAGACATCGGCAAAACATATGCGTTACATTGTGCCCTCTCTGCACCACGACGTGGAAGCTTGTGTCAGAAACGTAGAACATCCGTACCTCTCTCTGGGCATGGCAAGTGGCACCGGCGCCCAATTCAGCTTCTTGGCGAATGCCTAGGCCCAGGACCCTACAGCTACCGTCCCTGCTCCTCTCAAGCAGCCTATTCCCCTGTTCCCTGCAGCTCCAGGACTCAGAAAACAACGAAACAAATAGAAAAGCAACCTCCATTGTACGAGATGCGCTGGATCTCTTCATCTCTTGTCGGATGGAGCCACTCGACCAAAGGCGGACAACTGTGGGAGCTGCATGAGATGCCTGCCATCGCAGCATGACAACTCTTCGAGAAGCTTCCATGCGGAATCATGCAAATCCTTCCACTCGTTGTGAGTTCATCCGTCTCTCTCTCTGAGGTGTCAAGTTTGGGCATTTCCTTTCTCCGTTGCCCTGCCTGGCTCCGGACTCTTCCGGAAGCAAGCCACGAAGAAGCCTTGCAAAACCGCGCAACACTGAGGAAAGGAGCTCGATCGCCAGGAGTTCAAGATGTATTCAGACAGGCGACCGTGCGTGTCAAAGCTGTGCGGCCAGAGGCGTAGGAAGCCGTCCTCCGTCGCATCCAGGCCGAGCTGCCTCGCAGACTGCTTCGTCGACGCAGGGGCGCTGGGGTCAGCTTCCAACAGGGTGCTGCCCTCCCAGCAAGTGAAGGAGCGATGCATTGAGGCTGCCGTGGGCTGCCTGAGATGCACAACCTCCGCCGAGGGGAACTCCTGCAGCAGCCGCTGGCAAGGAGACTCGTTCTCCTGACACCACAGCATCTCAGGGTCCAGCCCGAAAGCCCATTTTGAGGGAAGGCTTGTTTCTGTGAAAGGCCAGCTACCAATGTGCGAACCCCGCAGCATGACTCTTTACAACAACAAAACAGAGAGCCACCCCAGTGCTTCTCACGGCAGGGAGGCACCATGCGCAGATTCACAGTGCTCGTTGCTAGGCTCCTGCGAGTTCAGGGTGCAGGTTGAGTACACCAGCATGCCTCCAGGACCTGAGAAGGCAGTTGGCAATACCAGCAGTCAGATGCTACCTCATTACTGGCTTGCATCTGGCCACTCTAAGGACTGGACGCAATAACTTCCACGCGCTCTGGAGGAGCGCATGCTGAACTTCCGCGTTCGCCAGTACACTCTGGTGGTAGTCCTCGGACTGGATGCGGCCCAAAACCTCAAGACAACGCTGGCCGTCGGCTTCCCATATACAAGAACGCCAGGCATGAAATGTTCCAATCTTAATGTTCCTTCTTTCCCCCGTTGTTGCACCTCGGGATGCCGTCGAAGGTTTCCTTCGGCACTGCAAGGGGCATCCAGGAGCACGGCGTCAAAGCAGCCAGGCGCCAAATCCCCAAGAAGCTGCCCCGGCTCCTTGCAAAATCGCTGCGTTGCACTGCTTGCCAACACTCCACGACATCATCTAGCTGCCTCGAAACGCATCTACGTGCAACTACCCCCAGCTAGCGACTGTCGCAGGTCCATCAGAGTCCTGCAGCAGCAGGCAATCCTCGGCGACACCTGACCTGAGCTGGCATGGGCTCGATCTTCCTGGTTTGAGGCGCAGGCTTTGGATAGGTCGGAAAGGCCCGGAGAGGCTACCGGCAAGGATGTTAAGGTCGTCAGGCCCAGGTCTGCTCTGAGATCATTGTGATGTCCCAGGACAATTATTGCAGCCATGATCTGCAACGGTAAGTGCATGAGGTTTTTCAGGCCACTCAAGCCAAAAGGCCGAACCACGTTGCAGCGCAAGATGTCGAGGCGCTGTGACTGCAACTCGTTGGCCACCAGCACACAGCGGGAGCTCCTTCCTGGCAGACTTCTTCGAAGTTCTTCCGAGAACTTCCGCGAACTGACTGCTTGTTGGTGCGATGACGGCAACCGAGCCGCAGGGAGTTCGAGCACTGCGAGCACCCTGGCAACAGCAGGTCCCTGCTAGCCCCCACATGCTCGGAACCTCTGAGGTGAAGCAGAAGTTGCGTTGCCTGCCACAAAGGCAGCCGGTTAGCCGAAACAGCGGGACTTTGAGTCTCCATCAAATTTGTTGAAAGCCCTTTTGAGGTGAGCTCATTCCGCGTGAAGCTCCTCTCGCATCTCCACCACCGAGGTCACATCACAAGAAAGCTTCGAGAAAGATAGAGAGATATAGAGAGCATAGATTCAAAAAGGGGAGAGCAAAGCCCCAACGGGACAAAGGCAGAGATCGAGCAGTTGCTGATCAAATACTCGCCACACCAGCTAAATCCACAAGTTACATTCGGACGCCTGAAAGTATGCCACGAGTTTGGGATTCCTCGGTCTCTCGGCATCCGCCCTTCGGATTCCTAGGTCGTGTTTGAACTGCGGCATTCTTGAGCTTTTGCAAACGGCGCGTTCATCTTGTGAACGAGGTCTGCTTGCGATTCCTTGCACTTCCTTAAAGGCTGCTTGCGGCTTCACCAACAGGTGACAAATGCCCAAATGGCCGCAAAATCGCCGCGGCGGGCCTTCGAGCCCGGGGCAGCGCAGATGTCCGCGCAGCGCAGGTCGCCAGGAGGCAGGTGGGCTGCCAGCACCTGCGCTGGGGATCCGTTGCGGCAAGATGGCATGACACAATGTGGCCCCTAGTATGCCACGTCTTGCTCTCATGACCAGAATTCGACTGCTTCTGGCTGTGAGCAGGTGAAAGAAGAAGGCTGAACAACGGCCAGACTGGTCTGCAGCATGAGCCCAAAGACCTAGCCCAAAGACCTGCCTTCCCTCAAAACGCAGTCCGAAGGACCGGATCGACTTTGTTAAACACTAAGCGCCCTGCCTCCACTGGCAGCATGGAGGCGAGCTCCTGCAGGAGCATCTCGGAATCGCGCAGAGTCGCACATTCTCCGGTTCCCGGTTGATCCCTGCCTGCAGATAAACGCCGCCAGAGAGAGCATCTCGGGAACGGCTCAGCCCCGCATCCTGGCGAGCTCACATGCTTCCTAGATGGCACGCTCAGAGTCGGGGGCCTGTCCTCTTCGAGCACAAAGCCATCGCTGCACCAAGGTGCAGGACTGGGTCGAAGGCCGTCGCTCCGGAGACGTCTCAGCAACTCCTGGGTGCACTTGCTACGCCTCCCTGCGCCTCCCTGCACCTCCCTTGTACCTCCCTGCGCATCCATGCGCAGCTACTTGTTTCGCCTGGCCATTCGTGCGATCGAAACGGCAGCCGTTGATGCGGAAACCTTAGCTTCTGCGATGCCCATGGGGAATGCCGACGCTGCCCCCGTCCAACCCTACAGATGTCGACGGAATCGACAGACTCGACAGCCCTACGAGCATGAAAAATGGGTTTGAGATGGCCAAAGCGGCTCCGCCGCGGGCGACGCTGGGAGGCGCGGAGGAAGCGACGTAAGGCCAGGCCCTGAAGCCCCAGCACTGAGGCCTTCAGCTGCATCTTGCAAGAAGCGGCGCAGAGAAGTCTGACAAGCTCACCAGGCCGAGTTCCTGCACTATGTCTAGCTGCCTCGGCCAAGAAGGTTCGGGGCAAGCCCAACGACCGCCGGAGTCTCCGAGGCTGCTGTGCCCGCGGCCTGCTGCTCGATGCTACAAAAGCATGCTCCACAAGCTGTAAGCTGTGTTGACTACAGGGGACAGGTCTCGAATTGCCCGTTTCTTCGTAAAAGCTGATCACACCGCATGCACGACCGTCCTCGAGCCCAAGCCAGGCTCCGAAGTCTTCGCCGGCATCGCGGGCGCCGCCATGCCAGGCTCCGAAAGTCAGAAGCATTGGGGCTTCTGTGTACGAGCAGGAGTGCCGGGCTGTGCCGGGTGAAGTGAAAGGCTTCGGGGTGCCCACTGGCACACGTTGACGTCGTTCAGGACTACGGTCTGAAATGGTATGCATCCGTCGGATGCAAGTAACTGATGGGCTTCCAGATTGGAAGACCCAGCCGATAAGGGCCATGACTTGAGGAGTCTGCATACAACGCTGTGTTCAGTGTTGAGCTCATTGACCGAGAGTCATCAACTTCGACTACTTCAGCAAAGAACTGCACAGGTCTTTTCCCACCCGGAGGCGTTTCAGCAGCATCTCAACCTGCCGGCCAACACTCCAAATGGGCTGATCGATTAGATGGCGACATGCAGCACTGCGCTTGAACATGTCCCTGCTGGGCTTGCCAGACCGAGTCAGCCAGACTTGGGAACGTTAAACAAGTTCTTTTTTTTTTGGAACGGCTATTGAATCCACACGTCCAGGAACTAGGTCACTGAGCGTGAAGAAGGGGCATCGATCTCCTGAGTGCACAGGTGGCTGCACGGATTGGCAGACTCAGCAAATCGGAACACGTGTGTACAAACAGCTGACAAGGATGGCAAGCGAAAAGCAAAAGTGAAGCCCTGGCACCTGGCTCACTTGGTGCTGCCATTCTGCACGGCCTGCACGAGCTCTGTCTGCCGGCGCATCTGGAGGATCTGCTGCACGAAGAAGAGGATGAGCAGGATGTAGCTCACCGGGTTCTTCTGGAGGTAGTCCCTCAGCTTCGTCACGAACTTCTCCACCTGCGGCGTGGCGAGGCTGCCGATCGCCAGGCTGATTCCCATGATCACGGCACCGACGGAGGTGCTGCGGATGAACTTGATGGGCTGGAAGAAGTCTGCGAAGGACTGCTTGCGGTCGGGAGGCTGCAGGCAGTAACCACGAAGCTCGTTGCCGGGAGCCGACAGCACGCATGCTGCGACGACAGTGGTGAACATGTTCACCACGCGCCCCATGGTAGAGTTCGCAAAGGTGGGGTTCAGGGAGATGAGGAAGGCAGACACCTTGTTGCGCGCGATGCCGTAGATGATGTCCCGGAGAACCGTTGGCGGGTACGCCTGGTAGAGGTTGCCAGGCGTCACTGGCAGGTTCATCGACTTTCGGAATCGGTAGTTGGTGATCGGCAGGGTGATGGTGCAGAAGACCGACCCCAAGGCGGCTCCCCGTGCTGTCGGGGGAAGGTCCACGCCCTGCATGATGATATTGGTCGCCTCAAAGAAGGGGAACTTGATGAAGTTGGTGGCAAGCGTGGTGTTCAGGTAGCTCTTGATCTTGTTGGGATCCAGCTCCTTGATCGCCTGCCCGAGCGTCGCGCGGTTCACCAACATGTTGTTCACCAGAGGCTCCGTCACCGCGCTCAGGGACGCGGCAACCACGGCGCCCACGGCACCTTGGGAAGCGGCGCCGATCACCCGGCCCATGAAGTCCTGCGACGCGGCGTCGGCCATGCTTCCTAATCACGCGAAGAAAGCGAGTCGGGTCAATGTCTGGGCCCAGGTGAACTGAACAAAAGCTACGGAAGCCATGTGTACTCCATTCAATTTCACAAACTCTGGACACGAAGTGTTGCCATGGTGTAAGCAGCTATCCAGATATTTCTGGGTGACGATTTAGTCATCGACCATCATGGAGCACGCAGCTGCTGAGAGCTTGTGAGCTACTGGGGAGATGGAAGGCTTTGGCGGCGACAGGGTACCATGACCAAGTTCTGAGCTCCTTTCTTCCCAGGAGCCGTTTCAGCAGCAAGAGCTGCAGTCCAGTCTCCAGATGTGAAACTTCGAAACAACACGGGGGAAACAGGTCAGACCGAGTCAGACCTGAAGATGCCTGAGGCAAAAGTAACACAAAAGGTCGCCATGCCTAGGCCTTCGCCTTGGCATCGGGCGAGATAGCCGACTTCTGGGGGCCCTCGATGGCCTGCACGAGCTCTGTCTGCCGGCGCATCTGGAGGATCTGCTGCACGAAGAAGAGGATGAGCAGGATGTAGCTCACCGGGTTCTTCTGGAGGTAGTCCCTCAGCTTCGTCACGAACTTCTCCACCTGCGGCGTGGCGAGGCTGCCGATCGCCAGGCTGATTCCCATGATCACGGCACCGACGGAGGTGCTGCGGATGAACTTGATGGGCTGGAAGAAGTCTGCGAAGGACTGCTTGCGGTCGGGAGGCTGCAGGCAGTAACCACGAAGCTCGTTGCCGGGAGCCGACAGCACGCATGCTGCGACGACAGTGGTGAACATGTTCACCACGCGCCCCATGGTAGAGTTCGCAAAGGTGGGGTTCAGGGAGATGAGGAAGGCAGACACCTTGTTGCGCGCGATGCCGTAGATGATGTCCCGGAGAACCGTTGGCGGGTACGCCTGGTAGAGGTTGCCAGGCGTCACTGGCAGGTTCATCGACTTTCGGAATCGGTAGTTGGTGATCGGCAGGGTGATGGTGCAGAAGACCGACCCCAAGGCGGCTCCCCGTGCTGTCGGGGGAAGGTCCACGCCCTGCATGATGATATTGGTCGCCTCAAAGAAGGGGAACTTGATGAAGTTGGTGGCAAGCGTGGTGTTCAGGTAGCTCTTGATCTTGTTGGGATCCAGCTCCTTGATCGCCTGCCCGAGCGTCGCGCGGTTCACCAACATGTTGTTCACCAGAGGCTCCGTCACCGCGCTCAGGGACGCGGCAACCACGGCGCCCACGGCACCTTGGGAAGCGGCGCCGATCACCCGGCCCATGAAGTCCTGCGACGCGGCGTCGGCCATGCTGCCAAACGAATGGCTCTTAAATGCTGGCGACACTTCTTTGAGGACCCTTACGGCTGCAAGTAGGATGTGCCGTGGCAATCCACCCAACGGGATGAGAGACATCGGTGACATGACAGTTCGCCCACTTCGAAGGCAGCAAGGGGCTGGAGATGCTGCGACTTGCAACCTCTTTTTCCGGAGCTGTTTCAGCAGCTTCCTGCTGGCCAAACTCCGTTCGCCTTCTGGGCATGAAGACATTGTGGAAACGAAACTCCCGCAGTGATCTCTCAACATGATGCTCAAAGTATTGCGATCTACAGAATGCCTTCATGATAGTAGCAACTAGCATCCGTCCTTCTGAGTCTCTGCGACTGCTCTTGCAAAGTGCTAAGGCACCGCTCTCACTACAAGTAACAAGTTGCGAAGGCCACCTGCAAAGTGCGAAAAGAGAAAGCTACTCCCAGCCGAGCTTATGCGGCTTTCAGGGACTTCTGCTCTGACTTCTGCACGGCCTGCACGAGCTCTGTCTGCCGGCGCATCTGGAGGATCTGCTGCACGAAGAAGAGGATGAGCAGGATGTAGCTCACCGGGTTCTTCTGGAGGTAGTCCCTCAGCTTCGTCACGAACTTCTCCACCTGCGGCGTGGCGAGGCTGCCGATCGCCAGGCTGATTCCCATGATCACGGCACCGACGGAGGTGCTGCGGATGAACTTGATGGGCTGGAAGAAGTCTGCGAAGGACTGCTTGCGGTCGGGAGGCTGCAGGCAGTAACCACGAAGCTCGTTGCCGGGAGCCGACAGCACGCATGCTGCGACGACAGTGGTGAACATGTTCACCACGCGCCCCATGGTAGAGTTCGCAAAGGTGGGGTTCAGGGAGATGAGGAAGGCAGACACCTTGTTGCGCGCGATGCCGTAGATGATGTCCCGGAGAACCGTTGGCGGGTACGCCTGGTAGAGGTTGCCAGGCGTCACTGGCAGGTTCATCGACTTTCGGAATCGGTAGTTGGTGATCGGCAGGGTGATGGTGCAGAAGACCGACCCCAAGGCGGCTCCCCGTGCTGTCGGGGGAAGGTCCACGCCCTGCATGATGATATTGGTCGCCTCAAAGAAGGGGAACTTGATGAAGTTGGTGGCAAGCGTGGTGTTCAGGTAGCTCTTGATCTTGTTGGGATCCAGCTCCTTGATCGCCTGCCCGAGCGTCGCGCGGTTCACCAACATGTTGTTCACAAGAGGCTCCGTCACCGCGCTCAGGGACGCGGCAACCACGGCGCCCACGGCACCTTGGGAAGCGGCGCCGATCACCCGGCCCATGAAGTCCTGCGACGCGGCGTCGGCCATGCTGCCAAAAGCTCCGGTTACAACCCTTTTGGCGACGAACTCGTGTGAGAAACGGCTTTCCATAGAATTGATGTTTTGGCCGCCCGGACATGCAGTGCGGAAAGCCCTTGGCACTGCGAGCAGGACCTTTTTGCTGTGAGACAGAGCTGGGGTCGCCTAACTCTTCTGTACAGGACCAAGGCAAACAGGTTGTTCTGCGGAGATCGTGGTGCTCGTATGTGCTCGTGCGATTCGGGGGCCGTTCCTTCGGGTTTTGAGTACGAGGCGCTGCCATCCAGGGTGAGCTCCAGCAACAACCAGTTGAACCCTGCGCGGCTTCTTTGCACATTTGTCAGGCTGCTGCTCCGAAGATGCCTGAAAGAATAGGTCTAACAGCAACACCCTGTTGCAGCAACGTGTAGCAGCGATAAAGGGCTCTGGGAAGTCCTTTAACAGTAGGGTTGGCGCGCTCTTCTATCTCATTCTTGCGCACGCACCAGTACTTTCATTGCAGAAGAAAATGTACTACCTTACTTCATTCGGACTTGAAAAAATTTCTCGCATATTGAGAAGCTAGTTCACTCCATGTTTTGTCTCAAATATTAACTTGCTTCACTTATTCAACGACAAGAAAAGTTTGGTAGCTCTGCTTCTTAGCGCGCTTGTTGAATTTCAATGAAACTCCAATAAATGATGATCGCGAAGGCACTTTGTACAGGCGTCAGTGGCTCCCATTCGTGGCCCAATGATTCTCTTCTCTTTTTTCCCAAGAAACCCCTAGATTCGAATCCTCAGAGACTCTAAATTTGCCTGCCTCCCCGACACCCCCTCCTTGCTGAGTTTTTCGGGATGACTTTTTCTAAGGGAGAACGGAGATATTCAGGCGCCAGGAATCGGGTTGACCTACCAGGGTATGGGGACGAAAGCGGAACATCCCTGAAGATGAGCAACACAACCCTTAACGCCCTAAACCCTGCTCCTGTCATTACATACAGAGGCACATACAAAAACACACATACACATGTATAAGTATATACAGAGATGTATGTATATACACACGTTCAGATATATACATAATATATATATATATATATATATATACATTTATATATTTATATTTATTTTTCTTATTTATATATTCTAAATTCGACCAATCTACCTCTCAAAATAGTTCCCTGATTTCATATGCTTCGGGGACGCGAGCAGCCAAATCAAGAGATGTTCACAGCCAGTGCTACACCTTCAACATCCCACGCTAATTCACATTTCCCAGTGAACCTCACGGACGGCTTACGAGAGACTCTTCATGGCTTGGCATGTCAGAACCACAGCACTCGCCATGTATCCAAGGAATTGTGCCTCCTGGTCATTCATGCGATGCAGGTCGCTCTGCATCTGTTGGGCAGATCGGCGACGACCTTGCAAGCAAGTGTTTTTTGATGTCGCGCCATCCGTGGGAGGCATGTATGAGACTGGAGACTTGTCGCTGATAGCAGCCAAGCGACATCTCGTTCGCCGGGCTCCCCACACTTCGCGCGTTGACACGGTATCTTGGATGCTGCTTGGCTGAGAATGCGCTGCTTGCCAACATGAAATTCAAAGTACGAGTAGACTGAGTGGAGCTCAGCAACCTCTGCCAGCCAAAGACTCCAAGGCCAGCCAGAATCAGCGCATTCTCCACACCGATTGCGGTTGACAGGCCAGTGATGCTAGAGCGCAGTCTGTTCGTCTCCACAGCCGATGCTATCTTGCAAATGCCTTGCCGTTCGCCAGCTCTTGTGCACATTCACAAGACGAGAGGAGCAGTGGCTTCACGAAACTCTTGAGAGAAGCAAAGCGATGCAGAACACCGTGGGAACACCCCCCCCCCCCCCGCCTTGCACTGAAAAGTTCCCGTCCTCACCGCACATAGCTGTGACAGCGCCGTCAAAGCCCGGATCGCAGCGGTACGAGGCGCCCATTCCTGCTATGCGTACAGCGTGCAACATGCAATATGTGCACATATGATGGCTGTTCTGCTCCTTACGCTCCAATACTTTCAGGCTTTCAGGATTCCACTTCTCATGGCAGGGGGGAAGTGGGCTGCAGAACCGCGTCAAGCCTGCAAGCCTCTTTTCCGTGAAATTCTCTGTTTTGTTCCATGCCTCATTTAGCCTGTTTAAGCCTCTAAGCCTCTATATTCCGGAGAAGCTTCTATTTGTTGGGGACTGGTTCCACACCTCTTGAAGCCTCCTTCGTCGGATCCCTTGAATTTCGGCCTTTAGAACCTCTCTACGCCTTCTTCAGCCTCTATAAGCCTCCACGCCTCTTTAAGCCTCTCATTCCAATACGTTCTGCCGTTGTCCGCTTCGCTGCCGAGACGAAGGCATCATTAGTCGCTGCCTTTTTGCATCCTTGAACGTCGCATGTCCGTGCCATGTTCGCTAGAACTTGGAATGGGTTGCTGACCACGCTCTTTTTGCGCTGTTTCCAGCAAAAAAAGCACTAAGCCGATAGAAAGAAGCAGGTTCCCTTGTCCGCCGCAAACCCTGCCGTAACGAAACTGCATCCATTGAACCAAGAACACACTCAGCACACGATCATTTTCCATCATCGGGCCTGACAACCACCCAGCAGCTAGCAATTCATCATTGAAGCTAGGAGCGGCGTGCGGCACCTGAAGTCAATATGCCACAATATGTCGCAATATGTCACGATATGTCGCAATATGCCACAATATGTCGCCATGTATGTCAACCACAACCCTCGTCAACCCTCCACACCAGTTCCCAACGGGCACCGAAGGCGGCGTGCCACACTGTCGCCGACAGCGGCCGGAGACTACAAACTCGCTGTCCTGAGGGGAGAATCGTGGTCAAATCCCATGTCGAATTCCATTCCCAAACCGGGTTTTATGACACACAACCTCAAGGCCCACGTACCTTGTGAAGCTCTAGCCTTTGAAGACCAATAAGTGTAGCCTCACTTCGGGCCGGTCTAGCCATTGGGTTTTGTATGTCCAGAGCCTTCGGCCACCCATACGCACTAGCACAAGACAACATCACATGGCATGGTTGGAAACTGTGTCGTGCGGCCGCCCTCAAGAACTCTTTTGGCCACAGCTATAGCGCTGGTGAAAAGGGCTTCCACTATCCCTACACCCTTTCTTGCACCGAATTTTCATGATGAAGTGGGACAGGTTTGTGTGACAGGATGGGCAGTGCACGGCTGCTTGAAGAAGACCACTTTGTTGTGGAATCAATGTGGCAACATGCATCGCCTTTGCCTCTTAGGGCTTAGTCAAGTCTCATAGCCACAGGCCGCAGTAGGTGTTCCGTTGTAGGACTCGTCACACCGGTATCGCAGCACCTACAGGGAGGTGCCACTAGCGTATGTGCAGACATGTACAGACGGCCCTACCCCTGGAAATGATGGAAAAGAAGACAAAGTGCGGTCGAAGGAGCACTTCCAGCCGTCCTAAGTCAAGGGAACCCTCACAGCGCTCCGGTGGCAGAACTTCTCGGCCCAACCGAAACTGAGAAATGCCAAGATTCATGTTAGCTGCAGCAGCCACCGGCTGCGCATGGGGCACCGCCGGCGCCTCTCCGCAAGTGACCTCAAACAGTAGTGTCCACATTCATCATGGATCAGAGGCAGGAAGCCGCACTGGTGCCTGGAGGCAGCTTCCGGAGAAAACCCATGAGCTCGAGGCGTTGCCTTGAAGCTTCGACTGACACGAGGCACAAGGGAAAGCGGAACAAGAGGCACGATAACCTTTTCGCAAACTCCAAGGCACACTTGGCCACCAGTGCTCCATGAAACCTTTGCTAGGGCCGAATGCCAGAGTTTCTGAAATGCACCCAAATTATCAACAGCGTCCGTTCGCTTCTGTGGCGGATCCAGACAAGCCGACGAAGGTAACTTCCTGCCTTAAACCCTCCAGCAGTGCCTCATCCCAAATTGCGACCCTCAAAGAGAGATCCAAAGAAAAGAGCTCCCCATCCCTCGCCCTTGCCGATAAGCAGCATGGGCCGGTCGCACAAGTAGCGGATCAGCACGCCGAAAGTGAAATTTTGGCTGGCAGCGGCCTTCACGTCTTCCATGCGAGCAGTGGCCTGTCAGAGCTTCTCAAAACCAAAAAACGCGCCCGAGGCCTTCGGAAGCCTTCGGCAGCCTTCGACCCGCAATGCCACGCCTCCGGCAGCGTCGGTGGCTGACCACAGGAGACCGGCGCACACCGGCCGGAGACATTGTATCCCCCATCCTGCCGCACATGAAAGTCTGCACGTGCATTTTTATGGGCATCATGCGCATCACGTCATGAGTCTGGCACCTCCATGCAAACCGCCGTGGCAAAGCCATGAAAGCCTCGGCGTGCGGGTCCGCAGACTGCTCAGACCAGGCTTTGCGCTTGAGGCTCTCTCACTCTCCCCGACTCTCCCTGCCTGGATCGCACACATACGGGCACTGCATGCCCTCGAACCAACCTCCAACGACACCAGAGTTGTTGAACCTGATCGGCAGGCTGAACCATCACTAAGCACGCTGTGATATGCCATGCTGTGTACACTATACGTTCGGGGGCCCAGGAACCATCGAACCCTGCAACGCGCAGAACCCTGAACACTGAAACGGTTTTTGCACGCAAACATGATGCAAAGGATCCAAAGAAGAGCAGTGTCCGGGTTCCATCAACGCACACCGAAGCTGCACTGCGCAAACAAATCAAAGCAGCTCAGCGCCACTGCATTACGAAACATATAGAGTCAAACGCGCTGACAGACCGGCCCCATACATCTTAGCCAATGACGGAACCATGGGGACAAGAATTGACATGTATTGTCCATGCAAAGTGCCGAGACATCGCCGGCATAGTCATGCTGGAGACTGCGACGTGGTACTGCGGCTACCACCCTTTCCCCTACTGATGCTCCTCGGACATGCTAGTGCAGGACATGAAAGTTAGCGTTGTACTTGCCAGCTTCACAGGGAATCGGGCATATTCGGACACAATGCGCCAAGCCGCATGAGCGGTTGACAAACATCACAAGGCACATGGGGGCAATCATCATGGATGATGTCTTGCTACTTGCTACGACACAGCTTCACCCTAAGCCCCCTAAGGCCCTAAACCTTAACATCCCTTAACCCGAACCCTTGAACGGCCATTTCAGATGTGCTTCGACCACTGCGGCAGAAAACCCCCGACTCCCGCTTACCAGGCTCTTCCTGATCAAGCGGTGCAAGCCTGGCACCGGCCGTAGCCGTGCACAAGGCTGTGCAGTCTAGGGGTGGTAGAGGTAGGAGTCCCGATCACTACAAGAATCTTTGTGGTCAGGAGTGGCTTCCGAATGCATATCAAGATTGCCATGCTTGTCTTGCGAGTTGCACATCAGGCCTCCGAGGGCCCGCTTGGCACCAACCGTGGTTGTGCACAAAGCTTCATGCCCCCTCGAAAATCCAGATTTTGCAATGTCGATCGTCAAAAGCCATCCTCTGTTCTCGGATTGCTGAGCTTCTCCCAACTCTCCGTGCAACTCTCTTGGTCAGCCGGCTTGCGACCGCGTCTTGTGCGCGGCTGCTCTTTGCCCATACTTTGGATCGCCTCAGGCGTTGGTGGGAATGCCACCAGGGGATGGTCGGGGAAAACTGAGATCTCCACCAGCTTCGTCACCTTCTGAACAAGTTCGGTCCTCAGCAGCCGCTCACGGTGCCCTCCAGAGATCAGGACACTATCTCCAGAACGAAGAGCTGCTGCTTGGAGAGGTTGGTAGCGGTCGCCACGCTGACAAAGAACTTTGTGATCTTTGGATGCAAGCAAGCTGGCCTCAGAAAACAGACCAGTTGATAGAAACTAATGCTATAAACAACATCTGGCACGCGCCCTGATTGCAGCTGTAGGGCAGTTTCTGTTTGCAAATACATCAGCTCCTTCCAAGGCTATGACAAACAAACTTGCAAGCTTCTTCTAGTTCAGGGACCCATGATGCGCAGTCATGCCCAGTCCTGATTTGCCTCTTCTGTGCACTCAATCGATTTCACCTCGACGCTGTCCCCGAGTGCGCAAACAATCTTGTCATTCTTTCGAAGATTTTGGATGGGCTTGAGTGTCCCGTCTTCTCCAGGCAGCAGCATCAAAGTGCCCCATGGAAAGCAGGTCGGACCTTTATCGGTAATAAAGGATGCTTGGATCTCACTTTCGATGGTGCCCTCCTGCAGGCGGAGGCCACATGTAGGGCAGGGGCAGGAGCCTCGATGCTGCGCGAATTCGATCTTTTTCTTACCGCTTTTGCCCCTTTTCTCTGCCCGTTCCTCGCATTTCTTCTCGAACTTCTTGTCGCATCCGTTGGTGCCACACAAGAAAAAGAAATGCTTCGAAGATTGGCAGGTGAGTTTGCGACCTTTGTCGGTGACTTGTGCCTGGCACTCCTCACACTTCGCATTGGGGTATTTCTTTATTTGCGGCAAGCTGTCAGAGATGAGGGACCACTCGTCATCCGACTCCGACTCGGTGGAACCAACATCACTGCAATCAGTGTCTTCCAGCTCGCCCTGCCGGCACACCCCCCGACAGGCACAGTCCTGGCACAGCTGAGGCTCTTCTGGCAAATAGAACTCCACCTGTTGCTTGCACTCCAAGCAGTGCTTCATGCGCCACGGGTCCTCCTCCTGCTTCCGTTCCACGTGGTCCTGTTGCGCGCAATCTCGGCAGAGTTCGGGTTCCGGACGGCCTTGCACTTGATACTCAAAGAACTTGTACTGCACGTACTTCTTGCATCCCAATGCTCGGCACACCCGCGCTCGCCAGCTGGCGCGACGCTTCGCGGAACACCGTCGGCAAAAAACCAACTTCGGAAACTTGCCATTGTACTTTAGAACTCGTTGGACCATCGAGCCGCACTTGCCACCGCAAGGCCATTCGAGAGATCTTTCCTTGGGCGTGTCGACGTCGACCTGAACATCTTTCGCTGGTTTCTTGGCAACCTTCTTGAAGCTCTGAAACCACGCTTCGCTCTGTATGCCCAAGATCGGACCGTCGAAGACCAAATCCACCGAACGTGTTGTGTCCACGTCGTCACTGCACTGGGAAAGTAGCTCTAGTGTTTCCTGTCTGCTGCACGATGCCATCTCAACAGGGTGGATTTCGGCCAAGAAGTGTCCTAACAAAAGCGGTCTTCATATGTGCACACAAGGAACACACGCCTGGCTCAAACCACGCGGTCCTATTCTCAGCTTGCAGCGCCGAACATAGTTAATTTCACCAGCGTCTGCAATGTTCTTTGCATCTGCCGACCAATCTCGCTTGAACTTGCCTTGATCGGTCGTCTGCAACCAGGACTCCAAGGCTCTGCTATCTTGGCTGCCTCGTTCAAATCTGACAAAAACCTCAACGTTGTCCATCACATCCTCAGTCACCAAGACTTGAAACAGGTCATGGCACGTTGATTCCTGAAAAGATTGCACACACCTGTTGGTATGCCCGAGACTCAATCACGACCGGCACCTTCCGCTGAGGATGCCAGGCAAGCTTTGCACCCCCTATCCAAACAGGATCCTGCTCGTTCTTTTGCAGCGCTTGCTTGGCTGACTTCCGGACGTGATAGATGCTCCTTAATTGGCTGCGAAAAGTGGTTCGATATCTGCCTTGTTGAGCCTCAGAGTTAAAGTATAGGAGAGGGTGAGCTATGTTAAAGCAGATGGATTGTTAGAGAGGTTTCCGCGGGTATGTGTAAACTGGCATGTCCGTGCTCATGTTGTTTGTAAAAACAATAAAGGGTGGAGAGAGGGGGGGGAGGAGAGGGGGGGGGGAGGGGGGGGAGGGGGGGAGGGGGGAGGGGGGGAGGGGGGGAGGGGGAGGGGGGGAGGGGGGGAGGGGGGGGGGTGGAGGGGGGGAGGGGGGGAGGGGGGGAGGGGGGGAGGGGGGGGGGAGGGGGGGGAGGGGGGAGGGGGGGAGGGGGGGGAGGGGGGAGGGGGGGGAGGGGGGGGGGGAGGGGGGGGAGGGGGGAGGGGGGGGGGAGGGGGCGGGGGGAGGGGGGGAGGGGGGGGGGGAGGGGGGGAGGGGGGGAGGGGGGCCTTTCCCCTTTCATGTGGAGCCCTATCCTTCAACTGGAAATTCTGGCTTGCGGTCTCCCTTATGGCCCACCATAGTGGTCAAACTACGGGTCGACTATTGGTATACCACCTGTTCCCTGTCGAGCAAAAACATCTACCACTATGGTATACCACACTATGGTACACCATAGTGGTCGAGGCTTCTGGTAGGCATGCCATAGGGGTTGGCTGGGGGAGTCATATGCTTTGTCTAAAGGCTGTACGACCCAAACCCTAAACCCTTGACCCCTAACCCTAAAGCGCTTGAATGTCAGCGCATTGACGTGAGCATCTGCAAGGCGCCAGTTGAGAAAAAACACAAAACAAGGTTTGTCATTGTACGTTTTCGGTTTTGGGGCTTACGTGCTTCCGGTTTTGGGGTTTGGGTTTTGGGATTGTCGGCTTTGGGAAGCGAAGCCCGGGGGCCTGCTGGTATGCTTGTTTTTGCTTCCCGAAACGCACCCGAAAGAACCGACTCACCTTAACCTGAAGCGTGCCTGAAGAACCATTGCCCTTTTTTTAGGGTTGTTAGGGCTTAGGTTTTTAGGGTAGCATCGCGGACATTTCGACAAGCCCTCCCTGAATGGATCTTTTAGCCCTAAACCCTTTTACGTGTTTAGGGGCTTTGGGGTTTTTGCCTTAGGATTGCCGTCTCACTTTGTAACAAAGCGCACGCACCGCGAGTCGGCCACACTTCTACGGCAAGCGTAGCGCAGAATCCCTCGAGATTGAAACCGATGTTCGATGCATCTGCATGAATTGCCATGCGACAAAGCTGGTCAACACGACACACATATACTAAGCTTTCACGCCTCAATCATACTTTAACTTCTAGGAGTGCGCGAGTATGTTTGAAGGCAGTGTAACAGGGTATACCCCAAATATGGAATCGGTTTTTTCAGCGTTTCGAGAGGCCCAAAAAAAAGTGTCAATGTGGCCGACATGCAGTGCCGGAAGTTTTGTCGGCTTTGTCGAAAAAGAAAGAGTAAACTATGTACAGTGGGGTTGCCGAAAGAATGCGAAGGCTTTTACAGGAGAGTCTTGGCATCAGGCAGTTTCCAGCAGAGATAAACTCGGCACGCGAGAAAGCTGCGTCGGATCAGGCCACGTTGAAAGCGTTCTCTTCAGAAGGGGTTCCAACCGTTTAACGTTTGCTTGAAGTCGTCATGCCGACATGCCCGAGAGCATGTCCTTCTGCTGCGCGGACCTTCTGAATTATTGCTTTTTCAGAGGCCTCGATGCTTTCGAGGGCTTGGTGTGAAAACCAGTGCCGAGGTCCACCCCGACGCACAGTTAAGCATGCTTTACGATGTCTCTGTCTCGTGATTGGTCTACCTGAAATCGCGCCAAGTTTCCACGGACAGGCCTCCAAGCTCCCAATCAAGTCGTGGGCGAGGCTGCTGAGCTGCATCGGGTTTGGCTTGAGCTTCAAGTGCCTGCAGACCTCGTTGCACTGATGCACCATGAAGAAGGCATCGAAGCCTTTGGTGCCGAGATTGCCGCGACCGAAACATGAGTGCTTGCTGTGGATTTGTGGATCCGTCAGAGATTCGCGGACCCCTTGGATGTCCACCACCATGCAAGCCCCGCCTGTAACATCATGGGAAAAATGGCTAAAGGCTTGTGCTATGTCAGAGCCCTCCCGAACGAAGCTTGCATTGTTGGTTTCTTTACGGTACTCTCCAGGAATGAAGGGCTCCACCGTCATGAGCTTCTCCTTGCCCATAACATCAATGCGCATCAGCTGCAGCTGCACAAAATGCAGCGGTGGTTCGTTAGGTCGGCGGCGGTTGAACTTCTCCGCCAGGCTCATAGCCAAAGCTTGTGACCGGAGGTCACCCTCTAGGACTTCTATGGCATTGTACCGTGAATCCTGTCTCATGTATCTTTTCGCGACGAGCTTTGCATTAATGCTCTCGTCATAGAGTGCCCACGCAGCGCGCATGGCGCCGTGGCTGAATGGCTTTGGTGCAATGTGGACCGTGGTTCTGGTCTCGTGGGTCCGGAACTTGGTGCAAAGCTCATCTTGTACCTCTACCGACTCAAGTCTGGCCTGGAACTTCTGCCACCCCGTCATGTTCTCCCAATCGATGTTGGGATCAAGGGATACTTTACTGACATTGAACTCTGGCAGATGTTGCTCTTGACCAGTGACCACGGACCACGATGCCGATGTCCTAGTGAACGTCTCCTGCACTGAGCTCCAAGATGCCTTTACAATTGTTGACAGCAGCGATTCTGCGTCCGAAGTCATTGTGTGCACCTTCATGACGCGCCCCTCATCCTTGTTGTTGTAGACTTCCTGGAAGGCTTCAAACATTTTCGAAGTTGAGCCAGAAATCTCGAGGCAATGGAAGTGGATATCCTTCTGGACAAGAGTGAGGAGGACTCTGTCTGCTTTGCCGGTGTCCACATCAAAGTGATCATCCCAACTGAAGATTCGGACAAGACCTTCCTGGTGTCCTGCTCCCCGGGCCTTATCATGAAAACGCGGACCGTGGTTAGGCGTCTGCGCCAGGAGAAATAGCAGTCGCACATGACCTCGCCAATCGAGGTTTACGGCTGCCTCCAGCCCTGCAAGAACATCCTCGCACCTCGGCACTCCCCAGATTTGCACTGTCGCACATGCTGTCAACCTACCTGTAGCCACAACGTCACAGCAACTTGCACGAACGGTCTGTCTAGTCAAAGCGCCAATCCTCACCACCGGTTGCCCGGACCCCTTCCAGGAAATGCTGGCAGGCACGCACGTCGCCAAACGGCAGGATCACGGGATGCTCTGCACAATCGAAATCTCGATAGCAAACCATGGCATACCTCACATTGGCTCCGCTTCCCAACCTTTTCCTCAGTTGATTCTGCAAGAATGATTCTGCAATCTTGTCGTCCGCTGATGTGCCACAACCCATCGGGTCAGCATACAGCCCTCTAGGGCAGCACCCCCCTACCATTCACATCAGCCAAGCATCTCAATCTGCACGTTGATTTCGGCGATCTTCTGCTTGACCGATTCGATAAAGGGCTGCATCGAGTTCGTACAATCCAGCACGAAACACACGTCCAAGGACTTGAGCTGCTTGGCTCGCTCACTAGACTCCTTCAAGGCTTGGACCCCCACTATCTAATCTATGAATCACGTCTTGCTGATGGACGCTCATCATCTCAAGTCAGTCCTCGTGGCTGCATTTCAACTGAAACGACTGCTCCACTCTCTTTTCGGCCCTTTTCCGTTTCTCCTATCACAAGCAAGAAGTCATGTGTGATGAACTTGTGGCACAAAGTTCTCGCATGTGTCAGAAGTTTCGGTGTCATTCTACTTTCCCTGGTCTCCTCCTCTTCCCGCTTCTCCCTCTTCAACTCTTCAATCTTCTTCAACAAGACTTCAACGTCTGGATCCATCTTGGTGCTCTTGGCACAAATGCAGAGCTTGGGCCACTGGGATCAGGATCGGTCAAATACATCATTGTAGATCTCAGACGATGTAGAACACTACATATCGAACTATACAGTACCATACATTTTGAATCGTATATGGTATGCGACAAGAGAGATTCGATGCACGTTCGACCACGATCGTGCCTCGGAGCAGCGTGCCTCGGCAAAAACACAGCATGTTTTAGAAAGGAAGCAAAGACGCACGCCCTACTTCTGCCAGGCTGCGGGACAGCTGGTGGCGCACTGCATTCTCGACGGCAGCGGCCTCGTGTCATAGAGGGTGGGAGTGGAGTCGAAGAACAAGCAGACACTGCAGGCTGGGGCCTGATTTTATGTACATGCCATCGTCTCCACACGTTGCTGTAGGGGTTCCGTTGTACATCTCGTCACACTGGTACCGGACCACCATGCCTTGCAAAAGGGCGGGGTGCTTTTGCTGGCCTGCTCCATCTGCTGACAATCTGGGGCACCTGTGCTGACGTTGCCGCGACTGGGGTCCAAGACAGCATGAGCATGCGGGACGTCCTGCGGATGGGAAAGCAAGTCTAATGCCAGAACAGCTTGCAGCTTGGCCTGTGTCTCAGAATGACTGTTGCGCTTTTGCTACATTCTGCTGCTGCACTGTGCATGTGTGAAAGCTCCGCGGCCGCAACGTCATAAAGACGGGCCACATGCCGCCACGTCCATCTCCACATGCCCTTGCACACTCCCTTAGATTAGAATAGACTCCTCGGGAGGGGTGCCACATGTCACTTCCACGCAGGAGCCATGGACCACCCAGGTCCTGGGCAAAGACTGCATGGAACAAGGCATGGGACAAGGCCCAATTATGGTTTGCTTCGGAGTTTGAGGGCATCTGATTACCTCTCTGGATGTATGGGGAATCGCACGCCGGGAGACCCGGTCAGGTTGCACACGGCACTCAAATCACCACGATATCCAGGCTTGTCCTTCGGCTGGAGAGTCAAGCGCATCACTTGTCTGATATGTGGCCCCACTTTAGCTCCCTTTACCGTATGCCAAAGCTAAGGCTGAGCCCACCGCACAGTCGTAGTGAATTGTGACGCCATAGGTCCAGTTCTGCCGCTCAATGTCCTCAGAGCAGTGCTTGGTTTGCGGTTTGCTCCACGTGAAATGAATGGACTGGCCCCGACATTTCCAACATGATTGGCACCCTTCATTCTCCACAGCTGTGTTTTGCTTGCTGACTCTGTGAATGGAGTGATGGCTTCACTTAGATTGGAACAAGGAGAGCTTTTGGTTTGGTTGTGTGAACTGCCCCGATAAGCAGGCTTCCACCCATTGACAGATTGTTGATTGCCCTGCTCACGCCTCCCCTATCACTTGTGAGAATGGAGCGCATCCCATCTGACCACCAGCTGAACCAGCTTCCCAGAAACTCTTCCGACGCTATCGCCCAGTGCAGGCTCTTGGCACTCTCAGTCCCAGGCAAAAAGCATCTTCAAGCTGAAAAAGGTGGAGCTCCGAACGCATTTCTACACACTCCCATCCCGTAACAGGTATTAAACTGGTATTGATGTGTCACCAAATAGCCGCCAGTTTCCCTCAACATCCTGCGACTTTCTGCCAAAAGGCGTGCATGCGTGGAACCGCATGCGGCAGGTGGGGGGGAGCTCCACAGGAAATTGCACTGCATGATCCACTCCACGTGTAGACTCCTGACGGTGGCTTGAGGCTGGGCTCATAACGCCATGAGTTGGGTGTTGGCCCGACCCTGCCCGGCCCCGAGTGCACCTTCAGCGGAGCAGCCCACCGAAGGTGGACGGCGATCTGCGAAATGACCTGCCCAGAAGAAGACACGGTGTGGAGGCGCATCACGCAGGGCCTCTATTATACCTCCCTTCCTTTCCTTGGCTTTACAGGCCTGGTGCGCAGCCCAAGGGGGTGGCTGAACAGAGGGGCAGCCAGGCACCGGCAACCCCCGGAGAAGACCTCAGTCAGTTTGAGAAGCATTTTGAGCATTGTGCGCAGGACTTTGGGGACACAAACATCAGGAAGGTCTCTTGCAGAATGCCTCAGTTTGATGCCATCGTTCGGCCGTGTCATTCAGCATTGCAAAGTGCAAGTCCTGACCCAAACGTCACAAGTGATGCAATACGTCCATGACCCCAAAGGACATGGGGGGGTCCCGTGATGTCCTGGCGGTTGAGCAGGAAGTGTGCCAAATCTCCCTGTCCTGACAGAAGGGCTGATACGGCCGAACTTCTGCGTGTATGGGGAACACGAGGTGCTACACTGGTGCTGCTGGATGTTGGCGCGTGCGTGCGTCGTGGGTGCGCCCCCTTGGGTCTCTTAGTGCGCAGTCCCCTCACTCCACAGGGCCTGCACAGGAGATGTTGCGGAGCGGATCCTGACACAGCAAAGCTAGGGACTGTTGCTTCGACTGTGGACGCTTTCAAACTTTCCACAGACCCTGTCCCGGGCAGCCCCAGAACACTGTGCCTGCCCTGTTTCATCGGTTTCACGTGCAAACTCGGCCTCGAAGGGCGCTGCGCTGGCTGGGAGGACTGTCAGAAGCGCCTTGGAGCTTGCCTCGGTTTGGAGTTGGCAGCGTTGCAGATCGGACTTGCGCGCTGCATGCTGGCAAAGTGCTGGCTGTTGCTGAGTTTGCTGGTGCCTCCGCCAACTCTAGCTATTGCGGCTTTTGCAGTCAAACCTAGGCGGCTAAGGGCAAGCTCAACACCAGCCCTCATCAACTTCGAACTACACTTGAGTTCTGCACCCTCCTCAGTGCCGTCCAGCTGCCGCGCAGGACAGCACAGCTACTATGAAGTAGAGCAGCAGCTGCCATTTGGAAGAAGCTGGATGGGAAAGCAGCTCTGATGATACGCCTAGGCCGCAGCAGCAGAGATCGTAGAGAGTTTGACTCATGGACTTCTTGTGCCTAGACTCCTAGCCTTCCTTGATCGAGAATACCTAAGCCCTTACTGAAACCCGACTCGTAGACCCAAGGCACGGCTGACGCTTCGCACTTCTCCACTGGAAGCCTGGTCCAGGAGCACATCTGCGCGACCTCAAAAGGCCCAGCACATTGGGATTGGAGTTCTTGTGCCAAAGCCCTTTTCGCAGCTGCAGCTTGCAAGCCTCCTCTGAACCCGGGAAAATGCCCATACACTGCGGCCCTGATGCCGTCAATCGTTCCTGAGATCGACGGCAGGGAGGGCGTGGAAGGCGTGAGACACTCCTGACAGGGATCTCCGGAAGATTCCGAAGCTTCGGACTGAGCATTTGTCAGGCCTCGGCACGCTCCTCGCCAACCCCAAGCGTCTTCAGCCAGGCCACCAACCAGGGAGCCAGGTCCTCGCCAGAGAAACTGCCGAAATTCTGGATCGGGTTCAGAAGTTCCCTGAGCCGAACTGTTGGGAGTTGCAACATCAGACTATGCATCAAGATCAGGTTCCAGCTTTGTGCCATGAAAGCATGAGGCAATGACAATAAAACCCCCTAACCAGTCCGACTCGGAGTTGCGAAGAGTATAAAATGGGTAGGCCTCGGCTCGTCTACAGACAGCCCGTTCCAGCACCGACCCGGGCCTAAAGAATATGAAACATGAGCAAGCATGATCCCATCTGCCAAGCAAGGCATGTTGACATCCTTGACATCATCTATGAACACATCTTGTCCCCCGCCCCAATCCTCCCACATCTCAGCGCTATGAACCCCAAAACTTAAGCCCAGGCGATTTATCCAAAAAACACCTTCCATCCTCACATGAAGCTCGGCTTCCAAAAAGGCTTCGTGTCTGCACTTCAGCCCACGATCCGAGTGACCAGGAACGTATGCACCAGTGCAAGCAGCGGCATCCAGAATGCGTAGAGCATGCCTCAGCATCGGAACCTGAACCCTAAACCCTACACCCTAAACCCCAAACGTACCCTAAACCCTAAACCCTACACCCCTAAACCCCTGAGCCCAAAAAATCCTAAACCCTGGCTAAAACTGAAAACCGAAGTCATCTTGTGGTTTCCGGCATGCCCAAGCAGGCGAATCCATGAGCACCCTAAGGCAGTATATATCACTTTCCTTAAGGGCGGCCGCCTTAGGGAGCTGCATGCAAGGCGGCAACGCAATTTGAGGACGACCCAAGATGTTCGAGCAGAGGCAACGACATAAAGGTTCGACGCGCTTCGAGGTCTGCAGGGCTGAATGGCTAAATTCTTAAACACAGCCGGGCTGGCAAGGAAGGGAGGTTCTAGGGTTAGGTTGACCGTGCCATGGGGGCAGGGCCCAGATTCAGGATCCTCACCCAAGTTCCCTTGTGGCTTGCTTCCTCCGAGCCCTTCCAATCACGCGGCCGACAACGATGCCCGGCACCCTCTTGCTGGTTGCTCTCTGCATTCGACCTGCTCTGGGCTTGCTCCTCTCCTGGGCAGTGAGAATCTTTCGCCGCCTGTGTCAAGCCGCCCTGCAAGAATCCAAGAAGCTAGCACGCTCAGCTTGGGTGAGGCCCATGGCACACAGTTCTGGTATCTCGACCGCTCCGAGGTCGTGTGTCACTTGCCACTAAAGCTTTTCCATCGCGCGCGGCTTCAGCATCGTACAAGAATGCACAGCTGATGCGCCCGGCTGCTGTCAAAAACCAGATTCCGAACATAGAAACGGAAGACAGAAAGGAACAAGTGGTGGGCGTCGTCGACGTCGCGCATGGGTACTGGCAGTCCACAGATTCTCGCTTCCCTACCCTAGCAGCCTCCAAAGGTAGTCCAAGCTGCAGTGGAAAAGGTAGACTTGGTTGCCAGTCCATTTCAATGGTGAGGCGAGGGCGGAGATCACCAGCCACTGGAAGTAGGTCACGGACACGATGCCTTCAGAGGGAAGACCCGAATCTCTGGCCTATCTTTCGAGTCTCCCCCGGCCTTTCACGCCCAGGAACTTCCACCTCAGCGGCTTGTGCTTTGAGCTCGGGTGAGGCAGTGAGGACGCAGAGAATCTCTGAGACTCCAAGACCCTCTAAGATCCTCGCAAGGGCTCCGTCTTCTCCAAGTGATGCCGGTACCCAGACTCAAAGTAGAACACAAACATGATGGCGAAGGAGCCTGAGCTGTGAATCCGAGTCTCTTAATTCGTCCGCAGCTCTCAGAGCTGCATGTGAATTGGAGCTGAACTGCTGCGAGGGACAAAGCAGGAAAGTTACAGCAGACAGAGCAATGGCGACGTTCTCCTTTCACAGGGCAGACAGTTCAGACACTTGTCAACTTGTGCTCATGGAGGCAACCCCTTCTCTCCTCATAAAGCTTCTCGCAGCTCGTGCAGGACTTCGAAGCCCAGTAGCAGAAGGTCGGGACATAGACAGCCACGATGCCTTGAAGAATAAGCTTCCTCGGATTTGCAGGCCCCCCCCCCCCAGCCTTCCCCCGCCTTCCCCGCCTTCCCCCACCCTCCCCGCCCAAAGCAGAGCCCAAGCGGCAACACTACCGCGGCCGACTGAATGAAGACCCAGGCTTTGACACCCTGGAGGCTGATCGACTTGAAGGACCTGTCAGCTCCGTTGATGTTGCTTTGGGTACAAGTATCAAGGGGTGTTCAATTCGGAAGGAGCCTGAACGAGCTCATGGCGTTGGAGTGGCTGCCCGCCATCTCAGCCTGCACCACCTTCGAGCAAATCAGGCTTCCCAGCTTTCACGCTGTAGCCTCTGTATGACATTCCATGAGTCCATGAGTTCTGTGGGTGTTCAAGTATCACTTGAGGAGCTTTCGGAGAGCCGCGCCGCGTCGCTCCAAAGAAACCTCTAATCGTCGCGCCTTGACGAAGAGAACAAGCACCGACCACAGCGCGAAGGCTTCGTAAATGTCGCCACTTTCGATGATCACTGGAACCATCCTCGGGGGTGCAAAAGACGGATGCCCCAGCTGCTACTGGCAAAGACTCAATCATGCCAACTTACGGGTGATGGCACATTGAACCCCTGGGATAGTTTGGGATTCGTTGCCTCAATGATCAATGCAAGTCAATGCATCGGGGCATCTTTCCCATTTGCGTGTCTGGCTGAAGTCTCAGCACGCGAACGCACACGGCACAGAAGAAGATGATGTTAACCTCGGCATCTGCTGCCCAGAACCCAGTGCGCCTCCCAAACAATTCCTTCACGTCAGAGACCCAAAGACATCTGCTCCGAATGCAGAGACACCGGAAGTAGCAGCATGTCAAGGAGTCCGTCCACTGCTACTTTCCGCTTGTCGGAGCCCTCGCGGATCCCGGAGAAGAGCCAGACCTGCGACGCGATTCAAAGCGTCGCATTGACTCCACTTCCGCGAACATCCGACACATGCCGTGCGAGCTGAGAAATCTGCAAGCTGACTGACCAAGTGCACAACTGCAAAACCTGTACTGGTGCATGTGCTAGCCGTTTGCTGGCACCACCGTCAAAAGGTACCCCGGATTCCTGCCTCTCGGGTGGCTATCCTTGCATCTTGCACTCTGTCCGCTGAGTTGAAATTGCTCATCGCGTGCAAAAACATTCTTGAATCGCATGTTACAGGACTATGCCAAGATTCAGAATGGTCAGCCACGACGCGGCGTGAACAAACAGAAGCTCCTGACATTACAAGTCAGCCCACGGGCACTGGTCAGGGGGTGGGAGTGTACGAAAGTAGGAGTACCTTATTGGGGTCCGTATGAAAAAGGGGATCCTTCATAATTGGGGTTATAATTACCCCTCCAAGTACGTGCGACCCAAGCTGCCCAGTCCCACCTCAGCGCCGAAACCACGAGCGCCTCGCGGAAGGCAAATGCCACCTGCATCGCCAGGTGGAACCAGTACCTCCAGCTCTGCGGGTTTTGGGTTTAGGGCTTAGGCGGCTTAGGGCTTAGGGTTCAAGGTTTAAAGTTTAGGGTTTTGGTAAGGTTTAGGGCTTAGGAAAACTGATGATCTTCTGAGAGGCGTCCTGCGGTTGGCTGCGCATATGTGATCCATTTCCGCATGTCAGGATTCTCACGTTAGACGTCAGAGTCATAGTGTCTAACTCGTTTCACCATCGAGGGCCATTTGTGAAGGACAGCCTTGTGAGAAATCAGTTTTTGCGCTCGCACATCCCTGATAACCGCGCAGAAGGACCTTCCTGCAAACAAAACTGGCGATGGGTGGCAGGATGACCCCTGGCGAAAGATGCGCAGCGCCGTTACTGATTTCAACGCCGCTCACAGCACCGTTGAGGCATTCAGGTACGAAGACGGCCATGTTGTGCAGATTTGTGCAGACTCGAAGCAAAATCCACCGGAGGTTAAGTGTATGATCAGGCTGCACGCCCCGCATAACGCATCAAGCACTCGTGAAACTTGTGCTGGGCACCACTTGATGCCAGCGCAGCGCCGCTGTGGCGCGGGGCTTTCGGAAATTTCATTTCTTCGGCAGCAGAGGCAGCGGGAGATGCCCAAGTAGCCTGGCAACCGCTTCACAAGGCCCTTTCCCTCCAAGACCCCAACAACCCTTAAATAGAAAACGATGTTGGCCTCACACATCCACACGTCAGCGACTATTCGAGCAGGCAGAATCATAGGCATGCTGGGGCATATGCTGAGGCCCTCACATCTCGCGGCGCAGCGCAACGCAGGCCGAGTTCTGGACACGACAAGAGATGCTCAAGTCCGCGGGTCGGAGATCCAAAAAGGGCATATGGCTTTTAAACAATCAAAACAGATGAAGGGGCATGCAGTACCTTTTTAAGGTGGTTGTGTCCCGAACACACTGGTCGATTGTCGACTTCCGCTGCCCTTTATTTCGTACTTTCTTGCTTGGAATGGGGTATCGGACAGGGTTCTTTCTGCAGGAAGTCGTTATCGTACGGGCCTGAACACAAAGAAAGACATGAAAACCACATTGAAGACAAGCAGGCCAGCAAACGGAACATTGCAGCAGGGCATCCCCGAAACTGAAGTTTATACACTTTCTAATGAATTCCTGAGCGCAGCGCTGATAACGAAGAGCGAGCGCAACGCCGCTCGCCCCGAAATGTGCAAAAATCACAGTAGCCATGCGTGTGAGACCACCTTCTGTTCGGATGTGCAGTTCTCAAGTTTGAATTTTGGGAATGGGAGGTAGTGCCAGGTAGTGCTGCTAATTTGCTCTGCCAGAATGCACAATAATGCACATGTGGGTCTTTCGCTGTCCAGGCTGTGGCTCGCAGTGATCCCGGTGGATGTTCCTAGCATAAAGAACAGGATGGAACTGCGGAATGCAAAGACATTGAGGTTCATCTCCACTGCCAAGAGACACCCAATCATGCTGGAGACAAGTGCGTTGGGACGAGACGGTACATTTGCACCGGAAGTATCACATCCCCATGCAGCAACCTGCACCTGCCCGCGATGCCATAGCAGAGCTGCAGACACTGAAGGAGGTCTAGAACTTGTGTACCTCTACCGACAGAGTGTTGCCTTGGCACATCTTGGCACGCACATTCAGGAATCGAGGGCTTTCCGGGCGTGTCTCGAAGCCTATTCGAGGCATTGAAGCTGAGGCCAAAGCTTCGTGGCTTTTTCGGTGGCGCACCGGGCCACAAGCAATCTGCTGTTGGCATCGGAGAGTACAGCTAGGGAAGCTGCAAGTGGTACGCCCAACTTGAGACAAATCAGATCAAATCAGCACAGGCGGCTACATCGATGCGGACTCGGACCCATCAGGCCTCGTCTTGCGACTCCGCTGCTGTGCGTCTATGCACGAATTAACCACGGGTTTCGGTGTGGTGACAACTTCCGAGCACGACGAGCAGTCTGCTGACATGTTGCATCGGGAGCGTCTGCACAACCTGCCGACCAGAAGTGGGCCAAGAGAAAATATGAGATCCTTGCGTGAAGTCATCGCAGAGATCCACAGCGACTGCGACTTGCATCCGTCCAATCTGGTGAGGCTCAGTTGTGCAAAATCCTGGACTTGAAGCCCTCCAAAAACTGCAAGAAAATTCATTGGCAGCTTCCTCTAAGAGGAGGTGCCGGGGCCCTGCCAGGGCACAACCGATAAGGCACTGACAAGACTACAGTCGCTATGGTCGCGAGACCTAGGCCTGGCAGAGCGCATCTACGGTAAAGCGAAGCACATCCCTAAAATTCGGTCTCCTTAAAAGCCCCAACTCGCTCGGCTGCGCGCCAGAGACATGCCCAAACTAGGCCGAAACTTGCTGCAAGACTTCAAGGTTGGAACCAGATCAGACCCTGTCTACACGGGGCATACACCGGGCATGCCCGCTGTTCGGGGCATCAACTCGCTCAGCACATGGGAGGATGCACGCATCCGCCGCCTCCAGAAGTGCATGGGAATCCCACTCTGCAGTTGCAGGGGTCGGAGAGGGTCGGGGATGGGAGCTCTGATGGGCTGCCTGTTGTTGGCCTGTATGCCGATCAATCGGAGTAGTCCTGACCCAAAAGCTGCGCAGAGATGTGCAAAGCTGTGCAGGACTGGGAGCTTGTGACTCCCATGTCCTTGCGCCGGCGTCGTGACGAATCATCGTCCTCCACACTCATCAATGACGCAAAGACATGGGTTTCTCGACCGACGAAAGATCTTCCCTCCGCGACCCCTGGAAAACAGGGATACAGGCACTTAAAATATCCACGAGCCAGTCCTCGTGTCCCTGATCCCACAAAGCTGAGGGAATGTAGGCAACAGATAGACAAGATAGTATGCTTCAAATATCTAAACCGACCCTTCCTTACTGAACGTCCACTGATGCAGCATCAGCCGTTCCCCAGCATGTCTGGCATGTTCGCAGCCCCAGTCCTTTCGTCGACGGCTACCGTCATCTCCGTCATCCTCATGAACAGACCAGGTGATTTCCAGACAATGCGAAGGCAGACATGCAACAAATATGCACGAGCTCCAGTCCTTGCGTCGGCGCGATCCATCATCGTCCTTCTCAACAGGCATGAGGGGGCATGAAGGACGAACACCCATTGCAGCCGGCACGCCGCTGTGGCCGAGTTTGACAAGCGAACAACAACGGAGGGAATGCGGGTGCGAGATACCTGTACCGAAGCCACCTTGTACTGAACGTCCACTGATGTAGCATCAGACATTCCCCAGCATGTCTGGCATGTTCCCAGCCCCAGTCCTTTCGTCGACGACTACCATCATCTCCATCATCCTCATGAACAGACCAGTGCCAGGTGATTCCCAGACAATGCGAAGGAAGTCATGTAACAAATTTGCACGAGCTCCAGTCCTTGCGTCGGCGCGATCCATCATCGTCCTTCTCAACAAACATGAAAGGGCATGAAGGACGGACACCCATTGCAGCCGGCACGCCGCTGTGGCCGAGCTGAGCTTGACAAGCCAACAACAACGGAGGGAATGCGGGTGCGAGATACCTGTACCGAAGCCACCTTGTACTGAACGTCCACTGATGCACATCAGACATTCCTCAGCATGTCTGGCATGTTCCCAGCCCCAGTCCTTTCGTCGACGACTACCGTCATCTCCGTCATCCTCATGAACAGACCAGCGCCAGGTGATTCCCAGACAATGCGAAGGAAGTCATGTAACAAATTTGCACGAGCTCCAGTCCTTGCGTCGGCGCGATCCATCATCGTCCTTCTCAACAGGCATGAGGAGACATGAAGGACGAACGCTCATTGCAGCCGGCACGCCGCTGTGGCTGAGCTTGACAAGCGAACAACAACGGAGGGAATGCGGGTGCGAGATACCTGTACCGAAGCCACCTTGTACTGAACGTCCACTGATGCACATCAGACATTCCCCAGCATGTCTGGCATGTTCCCAGCCCCAGTCCTTTCGTCGACGACTACCGTCATCTCCGTCATCCTCATGAACAGACCAGCGCCAGGTGATTCCCAGACAATGCGAAGGAAGTCATGTAACAAATTTGCACGAGCTCCAGTCCTTGCGTCGGCGCGATCCATCATCGTCCTTCTCAACAGGCATGAGGAGACATGAAGGACGAACGCTCATTGCAGCCGGCACGCCGCTGTGGCTGAGCTTGACAAGCGAACAACAACGGAGGGAATGCGGGTGCGAGATACCTGTACCGAAGCCACCTTGTACTGAACGTCCACTGATGCACATCAGACATTCCCCAGCATGTCTGGCATGTTCCCAGCCCCAGTCCTTTCGTCGACGACTACCGTCATCTCCGTCATCCTTATGAACAGACCAGGTGATTCCCAGACAATGTGAAGGCAGTCATGTAACAA